TAATGTATGAGAATCCCACCTGGGTGTATGGTGGCAATACATCATCCAGTAGTGCTGAGCATTGCCAAGACGAGCACCCAATGAACACTCGGCCCTCGTTATTATGGAAGGAACACATTTCCTGTGTGGTGTTACTGTAATCACTACTGGCGTGGGTGTAACACTTGTTGATCAGATGATGAACACAGTAACCCCTTTGCCACCACTGTCTCGTGTTCCCCCTGGGAGTATCCACTTCCCCATGTGATACCCTTGTGCTGTAACCTACTCCCTCCAGTCTGGCTCGGGGAAACAATCGTTGTTTATTCCAATCTTGGCAGTGTCCGACATTGTTGTTTTTTACACACAATAGTGAAACAATGAGTAACTACAAGACACCTGCAGCGTAGCAGCCCTCTGCCTCCACATTGTAAGGTGGCTTTGAGCTGGTGTTGACTGTGGTAGAAGTTTCGGGCTATGCTGTTTAAGAGGAAGCATATATATATCGTTATGTCCCATAGATAGAGTCCAGGTATATGGGGACAGATTACCTTTGGGTCTGTGTTGAGTGACAGTTTCATGGCCCAGCTGAGCACTTGGGTGGAAGCATGTGTTAGCAGTAGCAGTACAGACAGTTACTCTGACCAGGACCAGATGTAGCGCAATTAGCACACTGCTGTGTCAGGGGAAATACTTTACTCTCACTGGTTGGTGATAAACGTCCCCTGCAGGTCTCCTGGGCGGTATCTCATGTTCTCTTTACAAATAATGACGCTGAGGCATTCCATGAAATGCATCTCACTGTTGATATCATGTCCACTTTTACTGATGGGTATATTGTGATGTAAGTGATGGATAATTGTGTTAACATCCTCATCCATGTCTTGTTCTAACTGACTGTACATACATCTATGTAGTGTTGGTCAGTACTAGTGAGATGTGTCTTGTTCTAACTGACTGTACATACATCTATGTAGTGTTGGTCAGTACTAGTGAGATGTGTCTTGTTCTAACTGACTGTACATACATCTATGTAGTGTTGGTCAGTACTAGTGAGATGTGTCTTGTTCTAACTGACTGTACATACATCTATGTAGTGTTGGTCAGTACTAGTGAGATGTGTCTTGTTCTAACTGACTGTACATACATCTATGTAGTGTTGGTCAGTACTAGTGAGATGTGTCTTGTTCTAACTGACTGTACATACATCTATGTAGTGTTGGTCAGTACTAGTGAGATGTGTCTTGTTCTAACTGACTGTACATACATCTATGTAGTGTTGGTCAGTACTAGTGAGATGTGTCTTGTTCTAACTGACTGTACATACATCTATGTAGTGTTGGTCAGTACTAGTGAGATGTGTCTTGTTCTAACTGACTGTACATACATCTATGTAGTGTTGGTCAGTACTAGTGAGATGTGTCTTGTTCTAACTGACTGTACATACATCTATGTAGTGTTGGTCAGTACTAGTGAGATGTGTCTTGTTCTAACTGACTGTACATACATCTATGTAGTGTTGGTCAGTACTAGTGAGATGTGTCTTGTTCTAACTGACTGTACATACATCTATGTAGTGTTGGTCAGTACTAGTGAGATGTGTCTTGTTCTAACTGACTGTACATACATCTATGTAGTGTTGGTCAGTACTAGTGAGATGTGTCTTGTTCTAACTGACTGTACATACATCTATGTAGTGTTGGTCAGTACTAGTGAGATGTGTCTTGTTCTAACTGACTGTACATACATCTATGTAGTGTTGGTCAGTACTAGTGAGATGTGTCTTGTTCTAACTGACTGTACATACATCTATGTAGTGTTGGTCAGTACTAGTGAGATGTGTCTTGTTCTAACTGACTGTACATACATCTATGTAGTGTTGGTCAGTACTAGTGAGATGTGTCTTGTTCTAACTGACTGTACATCCGCCTATGTGCTCAGGTTCAGTGATGCAAAATGTGTTGCAACAAGGATGGCAGAGTTGTCTCCCCTGCATATCCATATGACCATTGCAGTGCTGACACTCTTTCGTTCAGTATATTTGAAAACATAATATAAACAAGACACAAATATCATCATTAGATGTTGTTTCATATTGAACAGCACCAAGGTTGACCTGGCTGAATGCAGACAGTACATGTGCATGATATGGTACACATATGGATGACCATGATCGTTTCAGGTGATCCTTTACAACTATACACAACTTTAACCTCCATGACAGATAGGGCTTACACAAGGTTTTCTGGTAGTCAGGAATAGGATCAATCTAACAGTTAGTACGTGAACTTGTCTCTGGGGTCTGGGTCTGGACCCGCATGGTACAGTGAGTGGCGGATCCCCTGCTGTGATACATCTTCAGTATGAGGTGTGGTATACAGGCCGCAAAGTTGCAACTAATTTGGTCGCCATGGCGACCAATATTTTTTTAGCAGTCACCTCTTGGCCACTTCAAATAATCAAGCTGGCTACCTGATATTACTATCTGCATAATAATAATAGAGACAAATACAATACATTGATAAATACTGATCGACTGAACTAAAATTGTGAGGTAAAAATTAATCGATGACCGTGTGAAGTATTTACAGGTTTAAAGGGGCACTGATCTAACGCAATTCCCCGGGACTGGTTGTTGCCTTTGTTATTGTTTTTTCCCAGTGAGTACCCGGATGTATAGCAGAAATCTAGACTAGTTCGCGACCTCTGCTGCGCCATTCGTAAGCGCATTAGTCACTTGTATGGGTAGTAATAAGGGCGTATGGTCACATTGATCAACAAAATGAAATACAGTTTTCGAGATAATAAGGAAATGTAGGTATCTTTGTGGGTAGCATCGGTAATGGTGACGAAGTTTTGATAAAACACTTGCTTGGTAATTTTGCGATTTTCGTTTACACTATTTTGACTTGCAATACAAAGTAAATATTTCGCCTGAGCATTGCTTTTATATAGTGTGTATATTTGTTTACTGTCAAAATGTGTAACATTTTCAAATTTATTAAACGCCTAAATATTCAGTTATTTTACAAAGTGACTGAAAAACATTTCCATCTGTATTATTATGATAACGAATTCCAAACATTTTGATGTTTAATGTCATCACCAAGAGACTGAAAATGTTACGTTGAAAAGTACATTTCTATGTTGTTTGGCTTCTAATCCTACATAATAATCAGTTGTGATGTTTGTAGGCCCTTTTGATCGTCTTAATCAATCTGGACAGATTTTTTAGTCAAAATGACTGAAATATTTACACATTTTATAAATTGCCTGAGAGAATCACATTTTACAAATTGAAGGTAATATATACACGCTTACAAAGGAAAAGGCCTGTGAAAACAACGTCTATCGCGCATTGAAGAATTTCCCAACCAAGACGTAGAGGAACAAGGACGAATCGGTTCAATGCTACAGCAAATGAAGGAAAACAAAATGCAAATACCATAATTACAACCTACCAAATTTATGTGTATAAATTTTAGGCAGCTTCCTTGTTCGAGGAATGTATCCATGAATATCCACACAAAGGAACAATATCCCACTCGTCTGCAGCCGTACAAAGAAACTTATTCGTTGTCACGTGTCTCTGTAACAATCACATATTTTAAAAGCTATATATCGTTTTGGGATATTTTAACCCGTGTTTGTTTCTCAACTGATCACTTGGATTGTTTCAGGTGTTTGACATAGGTGTCAAGTCTCAAGGGTCAGCTGAGAAAGCCCACGTGACAACTATTTTCATAACGTCCACAGTTCCTAAAAAATCCATTGAGTGATAGATAACAATGATCAATCAATCAACGTATAATCAGTTAACCCTTTGAACAAAGTATGTTGTTTTTACATCGGCACTTCACGCCATGATATGAGTGTATTCCCTTTGTTTTAGTAAACCTAGACATGTAAACACTCACTTTTGACATATCCACTGTGCAAGATAACAGTGATTAATCAATCAACGTATTTTCTGTTAATCCTTTGATGACTAGGAACGATCCGTTGATTTACAAAAAAAGGAAATCAACTGATCATTCACCTCTTGCTGGTCTGCAACGTGCATATTACATAACACACATTTCACCTCACTTCAAACCTGGATTTAGATTGAATAATTACCCCAGACACAATAAATGCCAAATGGGAACCTTTGTCAGGTAATCTAAGTGGTTCTACCACTAATTGTACCTGTAATAAATTCATTAACTGAGCATCAAGTGAATGACGACAAATACACAAGTGTAGGGTTATACGAGAAAACGTGGATGACAACAAGGGAGTAGATATCGTATTATCGACGCAATCCGAAAATGCTTTCACTGCATGGATACTTTTTTTAGTATTAAACTATGACCATCTGGGGTATTTCCAAATGACGACATCCGATGAGCTCCGCCGTTCTTTTTGTCTGTTTGTTTAGGTTGAAGAAATTAATTAACATGCGCCCTTTGTCGAAATCTTTATAGATCACGGTTAACCAATCAGTGTTTATGCAAAAATGCGTAAAACAAATATTGCCTCCAGCCTCCAAGTTTATTTAGCTGTCCTTGCAGACGGTAGCCCAGTCTCTGGTCACGCTCAGTTGCGTTGCGTATCATCCGGGTACTCACGGGGAAAAAAACAATAACAAAGGCAACAACCAGTCCGGGGAATTCCGTTAGATCAGTGCCCCTTTAAAAACAATTTAGGAGCCAATAGCTCCCAAGAATAAAAATGAACTTTGAGGTCTGGTATATAAATTTTCATTCATCATCCAAAACTGGTTCCCATAAGAGATATCGATTGGGTGATATCAAGCGATATCTACATTGTAGATATTGCTGCAATGAAATTTCATCACAATGCTTTGCAGACCATTGTGACATCATTGGTTACGAAGCCTCTGAGTTTTTCCACTTTTATCAAGACGTGTTGATATATTTGATATCAAAAGACACTCGGGTGAGATTCTGTATACATCCTCCCTGTCTTTCTGTTCGTGGGGTGATTCCTCCTGTTACTCATGTTTCTCTGTGTTTCAGATCGAGGAGATGGTTCACGAGATGAAGCAAGGGTTTGTGATCGCCATGGAGGAGCTGACAAAGATCCAGGAAGGAGACAACCACCTCCAGTGCCGTATGCAGGACCACAGAGACAGCGTGGACAGGGCCATCTCATCATTTAGGGTAAGTAGAACACCGTACAGTGACTGTCCTGCACTCCAGGTTGAACCTGAGTCAGTATTACTAGCAGGGCTTTATTCAGTGTAAGATGACTCCTGATCGCTCTTGTAGTCCCAGCCTTCAGTGTAAGATGACTCCTTATCATCTTGTAGTCCCAGCCTTCAGTGTAAGATGACTCCTCATCACTCTTGTAGTCCCAGCCTTCAGTGTAAGATGACTCCTTATCGTCTTGTAGTCCCAGCCTTCAGTGTAAGATGACTCCTTATCGCTCTTGTAGTCCCAGCCTTCAGTGTAAGATGACTCCTTATCGTCTTGTAGTCCCAGCCTTCAGTGTAAGATGACTCCTGATCACTCTTGTAGTCCCAGCCTTCAGTGTAAGATGACTCCTGATCACTCTTGTAGTCCCAGCCTTCAGTGTAAGATGACTCCTGATCACTCTTGTAGTCCCAGCCTTCAGTGTAAGATGACTCCTTATCACTCTTGTAGTCCCAGCCTTCAGTGTAAGATGACTCCTTATCGTCTTGTAGTCCCAGCCTTCAGTGTAAGATGACTCCTTATCACTCTTGTAGTCCCAGCCTTCAGTGTAAGATGACTCCTCATCACTCTTGTAGTCCCAGCCTTCAGTGTAAGATGACTCCTTATCACTCTTGTAGTCCCAGCCTTCAGTGTAAGATGACTCCTGATCGTTCTTGTAGTCCCAGCCTTCAGTGTAAGATGACTCCTGATCACTCTTGTAGTCCCAGCCTTCAGTGTAAGATGACTCCTGATCGTTCTTGTAGTCCCAGCCTTCAGTGTAAGATGACTCCTGATCACTCTTGTAGTCCCAGCCTTCAGTGTAAGATGACTCCTGATCACTCTTGTAGTCCCAGCCTTCAGTGTAAGATGACTCCTTATCACTCTTGTAGTCCCAGCCTTCAGTGTAAGATGACTCCTGATCACTCTTGTAGTCCCAGCCTTCAGTGTAAGATGACTCCTGATCACTCTTGTAGTCCCAGCCTTCAGTGTAAGATGACTCCTTATCGCTCTTGTAGTCCCAGCCTTCAGTGTAAGATGACTCCTGATCACTCTTGTAGTCCCAGCCTTCAGTGTAAGATGACTCCTTATCACTCTTGTAGTCCCAGCCTTCAGTGTAAGATGACTCCTGATCGTTCTTGTAGTCCCAGCCTTCAGTGTAAGATGACTCCTGATCACTCTTGTAGTCCCAGCCTTCAGTGTAAGATGACTCCTGATCGTTCTTGTAGTCCCAGCCTTCAGTGTAAGATGACTCCTGATCGCTCTTGTAGCTCAGCCTTCAGTGTAAGATGACTCCTTATCGCTCTTGTAGTCCCAGCCTTCAGTGTAAGATGACTCCTGATCACTCTTGTAGTCCCAGCCTTCAGTGTAAGATGACTCCTTATCACTCTTGTAGTCCCAGCCTTCAGTGTAAGATGACTCCTGATCACTCTTGTAGTCCCAGCCTTCAGTTTAAGATGACTCCTGATCACTCTTGTAGTCCCAGCCTTCAGTGTAAGATGACTCCTGATCACTCTTGTAGTCCCAGCCTTCAGTGTAAGATGACTCCTGATCACTCTTGTAGTCCCAGCCTTCAGTGTAAGATGACTCCTGATCACTCTTGTAGTCCCAGCCTTCAGTGTAAGATGACTCCTGATCGTTCTTGTAGTCCCAGCCTTCAGTGTAAGATGACTCCTTATCACTCTTGTAGTCCCAGCCTTCAGTGTAAGATGACTCCTTATCGTCTTGTAGTCCCAGCCTTCAGTGTAAGATGACTCCTGATCGCTCTTGTAGTCCCAGCCTTCAGTGTAAGATGACTCCTGATCGTTCTTTTAGTCCCAGCCTTCAGTGTAAGATGACTCCTTATCGTCTTGTAGTCCCAGCCTTCAGTGTAAGATGACTCCTTATCACTCTTGTAGTCCCAGCCTTCAGTGTAAGATGACTCCTGATCACTCTTGTAGTCCCAGCCTTCAGTGTAAGATGACTCCTTATCACTCTTGTAGTCCCAGCCTTCAGTGTAAGATGACTCCTGATCACTCTTGTAGTCCCAGCCTTCAGTGTAAGATGACTCCTGATCACTCTTGTAGTCCCAGCCTTCAGTGTAAGATGACTCCTGATCACTCTTGTAGTCCCAGCCTTCAGTGTAAGATAACTCCTGATCACTCTTGTAGTCCCAGCCTTCAGTGTAAGATGACTCCTGATCACTCTTGTAGTCCCAGCCTTCAGTGTAAGATGACTCCTGATCGTTCTTGTAGTCCCAGCCTTCAGTGTAAGATGACTCCTTATCACTCTTGTAGTCCCAGCCTTCAGTGTAAGATAACTCCTGATCACTCTTGTAGTCCCAGCCTTCAGTGTAAGATGACTCCTGATCACTCTTGTAGTCCCAGCCTTCAGTGTAAGATGACTCCTTATCACTCTTGTAGTCCCAGCCTTCAGTGTAAGATGACTCCTGATCACTCTTGTAGTCCCAGCCTTCAGTGTAAGATAACTCCTGATCACTCTTGTAGTCCCAGCCTTCAGTGTAAGATGACTCCTGATCACTCTTGTAGTCCCAGCCTTCAGTGTAAGATGACTCCTGATCGTTCTTGTAGTCCCAGCCTTCAGTGTAAGATAACTCCTGATCACTCTTGTAGTCCCAGCCTTCAGTGTAAGATGACTCCTGATCACTCTTGTAGTCCCAGCCTTTAGCCCTTAATGTGGCAGGGATGTCAGTAGTGCACAGAATTTCACATAAAGCTGCCAAGTTTAGATGTGAATTCAAGAATGTTTAACGTTTAATTGATATAGGTGGAAACAAAGCATCATTTATCACAACTTTATTTTTGTATGTTATTTTACCCATGTACTTGGTTGTAGAGAAAGACACTTGTGACATGATTTGAAAACATTTGAAAGATTTGTTTTTAATAACTTGCCCTGTGTCTTATGTAGTTATAGGTTTTTCTTAGCTATTCAATGTATTTGTACTCACTTGGGTCAAGTCTATTGGGTTTTTATAAACCAGTAATAACAATTTCTAACATAGTTTTGCATAAATGTTCTTTCATGTGACAATCAGTTCATTCTTCTCTGCTGCAGAATTCATGTATGTTTGATCAGCTAATAAAGATCTGCAATGGAATATACCGGTAGACACACAAAATGAATAGTATACTAGAAGATATTTATATGCAAGAAACTCAAGCCTAATTGAGTAATGGCGATTTATTTTTTGTGTATTTGCAAGACTTGAGCTCTGTTTATATTTTTACACAGACCTAACGTAGCACCACACTTACAAGCATAATGAAGTCATTATACCCTGATTTTGATGATGCACCAGTGTACAAGGGATACTGTGTTATTAATAATCAGGGGGCACGGGTGGCCCAGTCGTCTTAGGCGCCGTCGCAAGTTGCTGTGTAGAGTTGCATCCCTTGGACAAGCCAGAAACCTATGATTGTGGGTTCAAATCCCGGTTCGCCCTGATTATGTTTCTAGGTTTGTCAGCACCATAACCGTGCTCGTGGGTTTCACCGAAGTGGTAAACGTCTGAGACCTGCATCATCAGGCTTTCCTCCCACATTAAGCTGACACGCCACGATATAACTGGAATAGTATTATGCTGTTAAAAGCGACGTTAAACCCAACTCACACACACACACACACACACACACACACACACACACATATATAAATAATCAAAATGCTAATTGAAGAGGTGTACAACTTTATTTATAACAACTTCTGTTTATTGTTTATGGCTATAGGAATACTGTATTATAAGTATTCATCATGCTCATTGCTACCATGCCTCTGTACTAGGAGCAGCAGACTAACCACAAGTCTGAGCTGATAGCAGACATCCGTCGGGAGATTCAGGAGGACCGAGAACGTCATCAGCAGAACTTCACCGACATGATCACCACACTGAAGGTGGGCCAGGGACAGCAGGGTTTAAACCACGTGACCCTGTCACCTGGCAAACTGAATTATGCTTTCAAGCAAATTTGGGAATTTTTTATAACATTTAAGCAATAGAAACTGACTCTTAAAAAAGACAAATATCTGCTAGTCCTTATGATACCTTGACTATTGGGCAGTTTGACAAGGACTATGGGACTAGTGCCAATTTCTAACACCGCTTCTGATGTAAACTAGAAAGAACACCCAGATAGATGCTGCATGGGGAGCACCCGTCTGAGGGAAACACGAATGGAGACTGAATTTGACTATGTTGTGAAGACTTGTAAAGTTTTGTTGATATTTCTTGGGTTAGCGGCATTAAACAACAAACAAACAAATATCTTGGGCTACCTGTCAACCATGACAAAGACCATGTACCTGATGTGTTCCGTCCTACCCTCCTCCCTTCCTATAAGTGTAGCATCGTGACATTAGTGTATGTCAGTGGGTAACTTGTCAGGAAAACATTTACAACACAAACAGTCTACATAACCTCTATTGTGGCAGTTTTCAGGATAAATGAGAGGGTCTGTGCAGATGAATAGTCTGGACAGGGATAAAAAAAATTAGACAAATAAAAATGTATTCAGGTTTAAATTAAAACACTGAAGAAATTAATTGCTTATTAACTTTATCGGTTCCTGTTGCAAACATGTTCTCAGAATGACATAAACACGGTCTCTGGCCACCTACGGGAAGTTCTTGACCTTCAGAAGGGGCTGCAGAACAAGGTCAGCACCCTGCAGTCAGAGAGGGACATCCTCCTGGGGGAGCTGGTCAAGAATGGCGCCTTATCGGAGAAAGTCAGGTGAGGAAGTGAATGGGTTTGATCAGCTTCCTGTGTAATGATTGATGTTCCATGGCGGAAAAGCAATACTTTGGTGGCATGTTAAACTTGTTGATATTGATACACATTCTGTTTTGCGTAACTTGTGATTCCATATTTAATCATAATTAATAAGTGCAGGTTGTTGATGTCTTTATAAAACATGAGTCAGTTGAGCTCAGAAATTATAAATCAAGCCTTGTATTCCTGATGATTCTTGACATTAAACAAATATAAACATGCATCTGGAAGACTCCACCCAACGATAAGTAATATTCACTGCTAGTTTTAAAGCTGAAAGAGTATCTATGTTTTGTTGTAAGAACAGTGCACTTGTTTCACCAGATATCAGCTTGTACAGCGCGAGGAGTCACTGACCAGACAGGGACTCCAGAAGTCAGCCAGGGTCGTCAAAGATGGTGAGTCCTCCGAACGCATGACAGCTTGTCGGGGAGCGAGTGCTGCTTGTGCTGGCTGCAGTGTTTCACCAATGTCACTCTGTGCTCTTACATCAAGGCTCACAAGTTGTCCGTAATAGCCATGGATTCTCACTGGAATGCTTTGACCTGACCACGGTGCTGCCAGCGTTAAACACTTCTCCAGCATGACAATGCAGTCAGTAGTGGATATTATATGTTCCTCAGTGAAGAGTTTAATGATGGTGGAAACATGACTTAACTGAAGAGCTGGTTCTGTTACACCATGTTGCAGATTGCGATGCAGGGGCAGCTGTTGAGGACGACGTGACGGCGTCAGCCTGCAAGTGTCTGAGTCTGCTGCAGGCCCTGGAGGAGCGGTGCATCCTACCCGACTTGTCCGACTCAAGTGACGATGACGACGTCCACACCACAACACAGCAGTGGCAGCAGGTACGACTCTTCATCAGCCTGAACACAGCAATAACAACTCAACCCCACCATTCTCCATCACTTGTCTCTACACCCCTCCATCCTCGATCACTTGTCTCTACACCCCTCCATTCTCCATCACTTGTCTACACCCCTCCATCCTCCATCACCTGTCTCTCAACCCCTCCATCCTCCATCACCTGTCTCTCAACCCCTCCATCCTCCATCACCTGTCTCTCAACCCCTCCATCCTCCATCACTTGTCTCTCAACCCCTCCATCCTCCATCACTTGTCTCTCAACCCCTCAATCCTCAATCACTTGTCTCTCAACCCCTCCATTCTCCATCACTTGTCTCTCAACCCCTCAATCCTCCATCACTTGTCTCTCAACCCCTCCATCCTCAATCACTTGTCTCTCAACCTCTCCATCCTCCATCACTTGTCTCTCAACCTCTCCATCCTCCATCACCTGTCTCTCAACCCCTCCATTCTCCATCACTTGTCTCTCAACCCCTCCACTCTCCATCACCTGTCTCTCAACCCCTCCATCCTCCATCACTTGTCTCTCAACCCCTCCATTCTCCATCACCTGTCTCTCAACCCCTCCATTCTCCATCACCTGTCTCTCAACCCTTTCATTCTCCATCACTTGTCTCTCAACCCCTCAATCCTCCATCACTTGTCTCTCAACCCCTCCATCCTCAATCACTTGTCTCTCAACCCCTCCATCCTCAATCACTTGTCTCTCAACCTCTCCATCCTCCATCACTTGTCTCTCAACCTCTCCATCCTCCATCACCTGTCTCTCAACCCCTCCATTCTCCATCACTTGTCTCTCAACCCCTCCATTCTCCATCACTTGTCTCTCAACCCCTCCACTCTCCATCACCTGTCTCTCAACCCCTCCATCCTCCATCACTTGTCTCTCAACCCCTCCATTCTCCATCACCTGTCTCTCAACCCCTCCATCACCTGTCTCTCAACCCCTCCATCCTCCATCAATTGCCTCTTAACCCCTCCATTCTCCATCACTTGTCTCTCAACCCCTCCATCCTCCATCACCTGTCTCTCAACCCCTCCGTCCTCCATCACTTGTCTCTCAACCCCTCCATCCTCCATCACTTGTCTCTCAACCCCTCCATCCTCCATCACTTGTCTCTCAACCCCTCCATTCTCCATCACTTGTCTCCAAACCCCTCCATCCTCAATCACTTGTCTCTCAACCTCTCCATCCTCCATCACTTGTCTCTCAACCCCTCCATTCTCCATCACTTGTCTCTCAACCCCTCCATCCTCCATCACTTGCCTCTCAACCCCTCCATTCTCCATCACTTGTCTTTCAACCCCTCCATCCTCCATCACCTGTCTCTCAACCCCTCCATCCTCCATCACTTGTCTCTCAACCCCTCCATTCTCAATCACTTGTCTCTCAACCTCTCCATCCTCCATCACCTGTCTCTCAACCCCTCCATTCTCCATCACCTGTCTCTCAACCCCTCCATTCTCTATCACTTGTCTCTCAACCCCTCCATTCTCCATCACTTGTCTCTCAACCCCTCCATTCTCCATCACCTGTCTCTCAACCCCTCCATCCTCCATCACTTGTCTCTCAACCCCTCCATTCTCCATCACTTGTCTCTCAACCCCTCCATCCTCCATCACTTGTCTCTCAACCCCTCCATTCTCAATCACTTGTCTCTCAACCTCTCCATCCTCCATCACCTGTCTCTCAACCCCTCCATTCTCCATCACTTGTCTCTCAACCCCTCCATTCTCCATCACTTGTCTCTCAACCCCTCCATTCTCCATCACCTGTCTCTCAACCCCTCCATCCTCCATCACTTGTCTCTCAACCCCTCCATTCTCCATCACTTGTCTCTCAACCCCTCCATCCTCAATCACTTGTCTCTCAACCTCTCCATCCTCCATCACTTGTCTCTCAACCCCTCCATTCTCCATCACTTGTCTCTCAACCCCTCCATTCTCCATCACCTGTCTCTCAACCCCTCCATCCTCCATCACTTGTCTCTCAACCCCTCAATCCTCAATCACTTGTCTCTCAACCTCTCCATCCTCCATCACTTGTCTCTCAACCCCTCCATTCTCCATCACCTGTCTCTCAACCCCTCCATCCTCCATCACTTGCCTCTCAACCCCTCTATCCTCCATCAACTGTCTCTCAACCCCTCCATCCTCCATCACCTGTCTCTCAACCCCTCCATCCTCCATCACCTGTCTCTCAACCCCTCCATCCTCCATCACTTGTCTCTCAACCTCTCCATCCTCCATCACCTGTCTCTCAACCCCTCCATCCTCCATCACTTGTCTCTCAACATTTTAATGTGCATTCACTTGTCCATTGCAGAATTCAGGTGAAAAGTCCAGTCATCAGATGTCTGCTCCTGAGGCCTATACAGACTACCAAACTAGAGACACAGGTAGGTGCAATTCCACATCAGGCATCAGATGGGACCCCTTCATTTGTGTCAATATAGGACAGTATTATCTTCCTGAGCTGGCCATTATTTATGCAGGCCAATGAATACAGCATTAGTACACTACAAGTCTATAAACATGGCTTTGAGTAGATGACATTAGTTTTGTGGATTGATATTTGTTTCTGTTTGAGTTCCTTGCATCACATTGCCACATTGATCTGAGGATCAGATGAAGGAGCAAAGAGCAGTGTAGCTTAACCTTAGAATGCAGTTGTCATCCATATCAGTGTGGTGTATTCCTTGTGAATAAAAGCAACAAAACCCTTTCCATATTCATAAGAGATCTCTGCCAAAAGCAGAATTGATTGTACAAGGGGAGAGCATTAGTGCCCATGGGGATGCCTACTTCTTGCCTGACTGTCTTACCCCAAATGTTTACCTAGATGTTATCAATGTGGAAGTCAAGCAATTCACGTATTGTTTTCTCAGTAAACTACAGATGGCATTTGCTTTCATTTTGATAAATAGACCTGATAAATATGTAACTATATCTCTGGTCACCACATTTGGTAACAAAAGCCCCATGGATCAAGGAATGTAGTTGTGTTTTACTTTATGTTTGTCATGTGGGATAGTGGTGTACAAAGTTGAAAAAACAAATGCCAAGTATTCAGCATCTAATTTGTAGAATTGTATCCATGGATCTGAAATAGCTCATTTAGCCAAACACATGTTTTGATTACTAAGCTCTTCTCTCCTTGAACGTTGGATTTTGGGAATAATTGCTTCAGCTAGCAGCTATATGTTTGCAGCTAATTGTTTGTTAATGTTAATGACTAGTGGCCTTTTCATAAGAATTACTCTTAATCTGCCTGTAATGACACCTGTGTATAAATCTGCCTGTAATGACACCTGTGTATAAATCCCCCTGTAAAGACACCTGTGTATAAATCAGGGGTCGGGAAACCGTCATATGCGCCGGACATGTCCGATTGGGAATCTCAAATGTCCGTTTTAAAATATTGCTTACCGGACATTTTAAAAAGTATTGTCCGGACATTCTTAAATTTTGACCGGACATGATCAACAGTTAGGACTGAGCAGTTTCTGTCTGCAGTTGCAACACAATGACGATTAACTTCACTGACAAGCTTTGTTTGTTTTGATTGCTGTAAATACATCGTACCTACATGATAGTCCAATCGGTCAATCACTGTAATAGGCAATAAACTGAGTTGACACTGATTAATCGAGGATTAATTACTGAGAACATCTTGTTAATTTGAGTGAGTTTACAACTGTACATTAACACCTTGCATCATCGATGTACCTCATTATCCTCACAATGCTACGATACGTAACCTCAGACAAGAAGCGAAAGCGTGACGACAGCCAGTCGACCGATGCAGATCAGTCGAGCAGATCTGCCAAACCCTCAAAGTCTGGACGATCATTTTGTAAGTCGTGGTTAACAACTTTCACTTGGTTGACATACAATGAGGATTTGCAGATTCAGTAGCTAGTCGTATATTGAATCTTGATTGACCGCCATTTTGCTTTCTCGGACGATCGATATCCAATTTTTTTATGGTCAATAATTAAGTACAGATGAAAAACGTATTCAAATAACTATTGCTATCAACGATATTTTAGTATGTGTGATTAAATTATCTGTCTTGTTTTTAAAAAAATCTTGTTTAAAAAAAACCTTTTCCCGTGAGGTCACGTGATAACCAAATATGGGATAATAGTCTCGATCCAAATGTTACAACGTGTACACTTGAGCAGACTCATGAATATAACTCATGAATATTAATTAGACCGTTCACTACGTTAACAGATCGTTATTATAACAGAAACAAACGTATGTTTTCCATGTAAATCTAAAATGATATTATTTGTTATTAATTGTCCGGTGAATTAAACAATTTAAATTGAAATAATTCATAATTCATCATATTATGAATACGTGACTTGTAATGTGTGTGAAAAGTCGTACTAAAATACGCTATTTGAAGGGGGCGTGGCCTAAATGCAAATGTCCAATTGGGATTTTAAATTTACCGGACCCCTGGTATAAATCCCCCTGTAAAGACACCTGTAATGACACCTGTGTATAAATCCACCTGTAATGACACCTGTGTATAAATCCCCCTGTAATGACACCTGTGTATTAATCCACTTGTAAAGACACCTTTGTATTAATCCCCCTGTAATGACACCTGTGTATAAATCCACCTGTAATGACACCTGTGTGTAAAACTGTAAATCCCCCTGTAATGACACCTGTGTATTAATCCCCCTGTAATGACACATGTGTATTAATCCCCCTGTAATGACACCTGTGTATAAATCCACTTGTAATGACACCTGTGTAGAAATCTGCCTGTAATGACACCTGTGTATTAATCCCCCTGTAATGACACCTGTGTATAAATCCCCCTGTAATGACACCTGTGTGTAAATCCCCCTGTAATGACACCTGTGTATAAATCCCCCTGTAATGACACCTTTGTATAAATCCCCCTGTAATGACACCTGTGTATAAATCCCCCTGTAAAGACACCTGTGTATAAATCCATCTGTAATGACACCTGTGTATAAATCCACCTGTAATGACACCTGTGTATTAATCCACTTGTAAAGACACCTTTGTATTAATCCCCCTGTAATGACACCTGTGTATAAATCCTGTAATGACACCTCTGTATAAATCCACCTGTAATGACACCTGTGTATAAATCTGCCTGTAATGACACCTGTGTAGAAATCTGCCTGTAATGACACCTGTTTAGAAATCTGCCTTTAATGACACATGTGTATAAATCTGCCTGTAATGACACCTGTGTATAAATCTGCCTGTAATGACACCTGTGAATAAATCTGCCTGTAATGACACCTGTGTATAAATCTGCCTGTAATGACACCTGTGTATAAATCTGCCTATAATGACACCTGTGTATAAATCCGCCTTTAATGACACCTGTGTATAAATCTGCCTGTAATGACACCTGTGTATAAATCCCCCTGTAATGACACCTGTGTGTAAATCCCCCTGTAATGACACCTGTGTATAAATCTGCCTGTAATGACACCTGTGTATAAATCCGCCTGTAATGACACCTGCGTTGATGACCACTGAGTGATGACCCAGTACTGACTCTCCCTTCAGCAGAGAGACAGCAGTCAGTGCAGGACATCGTCGACTCTGAGCGTGAGTACTGCAGCCAGCTGTGGGCGCTGCTAGACGGCTATCTCACCCCGCTGCAGGAGGGGCTGTACGTGAGCACACGGGAGCTTAACCTGCTGTTGCCGCCGTCGCTGCAGCAGCTGTACGAGGAGCACTGCCACATCCTGCATGTCCTGGAGGACCGGCTACAGCGCTGGAGCTGGGGTGGCATGGTCGGTGACGTCTTTGCTAAGATGACAGACAGCCAGACTGTGAGTAGCTTGTGGCGCCGGCTGTTATAAGAGATCCACTCCACAATGTCATCTTTGGGTTACAAGTCTTTTACATATCGCCAAGACTTTTACTTTGTCCTGTTTGGCTTAGAATAGGCCCTCAGTACCCATGCCTTTAAAAAGATCTGGTGGATCCGTTCCAAAAGCAAATTCTAGTCCTGTTTTTAGTAGATCATCACTGAATAAACTTACTGGACCAGAATAAAATTAACAAGGCTCAGGGTTCGGAAGAGTAACTTCAGTCTCAGTCAGACTGAGGTGATAATGTATTGTGTATTGTCTTGTGACGACTTCTTCATCCCAGCATTATGTAATACCCACTGACTTACCATTCAAGATTTAGAGCTGTGACTGCAGATTTGTATTACTTAGTCCCTCTTATTTGTTCGTCGCCAGGGCAACCTGATGTCGCTGTACAAGGAGTACCTGTCTGACTTCCCCGCCGCCGTCAACTGTCTGCGCAGACAGGTCACCCAGTCCAGGAAGTTCCGGGACTTCATTAAGGTGGGCACAGGTGTTCTAGTGCTGTTGTCATGAAGCCATGTGTTTAAGATGAATAAAGATGAATCAGTGTCATTTGGTTATGAGTCTTGGTTAACAAGTAAAGTTCAGACTGCATGAGTTTATAAATGATGTTTTATTCCAGAGGGAAGACCGGCCCAACTCTGGAGACATCGTCTCTCTGCTGACAGCTCCCATACGGAGGATACCCCAGTACTCGCTGCTCCTGCAGGTACACACAGCGCACACAGTAGACACTCACTAGACACTCAGTAGATACACAGTAGACACACAGTAGACACACAGTAGACACTCAGTAGACACTCAGTAGACACTCAGTAGACACACAGTAGACACACAGTAGACACTCAGTAGACACACAGTAGACACACAGTAGACACTCAGTAGACACTCAGTAGACACACTGTAGACACTCAGTAGACACACAGTAGACACTCAGTAGACACACAGTAGACACACAGTAGACACTCAGTAGACACACAGTAGACACACAGTAGACACACAGTAGACAACCAGTAGACACACAGTAGACACACAGTAGACACACAGTAAACTACATTCACTAACATTTTTGCTATAATGTAAGTACAGTGGTCCCTCGCTACAACGCTACCAATGGGGTCCAAATAATTGGTGGACGTTATAGACGATGAGCCGTTTAACCGAGGCCGAGGCGGGGGAGCGCGCTCGGCAAATCTCAAATCATCAATATGTGTTTATCTCACGTCACGTCAAAATAGTATATTTTTATGGACCTAGATCTACCTGTAATATCATTCATTTATTAAATCTGTCACATTTCACAATGTCTGAAATACGTATTCCATTTCAATTTATCATTTTTTATCGATAAATTAAAAAATTATTCACTATTTCCCACGATGTTATTGAAAATAAAATTCTCGGACACACATTTCGACAACGGGTCCGCATCGAACATATCAAAGAGCAAAATAAAGATGTTTTAAGCAAATCTTTAAATATATTATACAGAGTGATAAATAAAATCAACAAAAATATATCTAAAAGTAATCAAACTTACATCTAAGTTATTATTTCCATAGTTTCGTGCGATCGCGTGTAATGTAAGTCAAATGACATCTCGGCTTTCGTCGCCTTGAATTCTCGGCTCGGACACGTTTAATGCAAAAATATATGCATGAAAAATCTTTGTCACAGCTCGTACCCTAGCACGATACATTCATGAAGTTCCGTATTTTTAATATATATCGTGATTTCCTGCTTAAAACGTTCAGAATAATACGATTTAACAAAAAATCTTTCGCCAACTTCTGAAATTTATCAAACACGAGCTTGGTATCAGCTATAATTTGATTGGCTGCCTGAGGTCCCGTGCCCAAAATTGACCAATCACGAAACTTGTAGCAGATTTCGGCAAGAAAGCGTCATTAGAAACAAATTTTAATCCAATGAAATCGCTTGTTATAACTACGGAAAAAAACAGGCGATGTTACGAAAGCGCGATTACGAAATGAATGACCGCCGTGTTGTGACAGCAACTACATGTGTGTGACAGTGTCGCCTCAAATTGGATTGCCCACTAATTAAGAATATAAACTTCGCTTGTGGTTCTCTTTTATTGCATGCATGCGCTTCTAAGATCAAAGGATGTATAGTGTGAAAAGTTAACTAGTTGAACAATCGTATTTCCGGGACTTGCCGCGGATGTTTTCAAACAGATTATTAGAACTCCATTCAGCGATAAACGGTTGATTATGCAATTAGAAGCGTTATGTGCAAATGAACAACGAACAACAATACAATTATGTCTGTGTAAAACTCTCAGTATTAAAAGTGTACATAAATTTTGGGAGCCATGCGTTACCGCGCGTAGTAACCAAGGTAGCGCTTTATCGAAGAACACAATAGCGAGGGATCACTGTATGATTCATACACCTGAAACTAGCTTATGCCAATTCCCAGTGAGAAGATATTCAGGGTGCTCCTCTGCTGGTCAATGCACTGTTCCTGTCTGTAGCCCTGCCTTCCCAACATACCACTCTGTCATGGTTACAGCAACTGTTGAAGAACACAGCAGTGTCGCACCCGGACCAGTATACCCTGCAGTGCACCCTGACTAGACTCCGCAGCTTCGTCGACCAGTTCAGTGATGAGATCACTCACACCGTCAGTCAAGACAAGGACACAATCAGGTGAGTTCAGTGATGAGATCACGCACACCGTCAGCCACGACAAGGACACAATCAGGTGAGTTCAGTGATAAGATCACGCACACCGTCAGCCACGACAAGGACACAATCAGGTGAGTTCAGTGATAAGATCATGCACACCGTCAGCCACGACAAGGACACAATCAGGTGAGTTCAGTGATGAGATCACGCACACCGTCAGCCACGACAAGGACACAATCAGGTGAGTTCAGTGATGAGATCACGCACACCGTCAGCCACGACAAGGACACAATCAGGTGAGATCAGTGATATGATCACTTTGAAAATAACACGTCAGCAAGAGATATTGAGTCCATTGGTGCAATTTCTCAAGCGATCTAACGTTTGCCTGAATAAGGTTTCAGATAGCACCAGTAAATTTACTTTGATTTGTTCCTTTTATCGATCATGTTGGTTAAACTAAATACCTGTTGAAAAGGTGTGGCAAATGTTGGACACGCACTGTGTGTTTATGTGGGGAAGAAACCAGAACCGTTTGCTTTGATACGACTTACAGGATCAAGTGGCCACAATGAGTAGGCTGAACAGCAGACATTGGCTGAGACCAATTCTTACTTCGCTGATCTGAAGTTGAAGGTGACTATTGTATTGTGGTTGTGATTATAGGATGGTTGTATTGTGGTTATGTTTGTAGGATGGTTGCTCCTTCGGTGCGGTCAAGTCCTAGCGGCAGCAGCTGCGACACCGGTCAACCAGCCAGCGCCAGGGACAGTGGCATCCACTCCAACGGGGAGGAGCAGCACCCTCAGCAGGGCTACAACAGGTACAGTCAGCACTGGGGGGTGATGTGAGGTTGTGGGATGAGTGGGGGGAGAGCATGACCATCAGCAGGGCTACAACATGTACAGTCAGCACTGGGGGGTGGTGTGAGGTTGTGGGGGGGAGGAGCAGCACCCTCAGCAGGGCTACAACAGGTACAGTCAGCACGGAGGGGGTGGTGTGAGGTTGTGGGATGAGGTGGGGGGAGAGCAGGACCCTCAGCAGGGCGACAACATGTACTGTCAGCACTGGGGGGTGATGTGAGGTTGTGGGATGAGTGGGGGGGAGAGCAGGACCCTCAGCAGGGTGACAACATGTACCGTCAGCACTGGGGGGTGATGTGAGGTTGTGGGATGAGTGGGGGGGAGAGCAGGACCCTCAGCAGGGTGACAACATGTACTGTCAGCACTGGGGGGTGATGTGAGGTTGTGGGATGAGTGGGGGGGAGAGCAGGACCCTCAGCAGGGTGACAACATGTACTGTCAGCACTGGGGGGTGATGTGAGGTTGTGGGATGAGTGGGGGGGAGAGCAGGACCCTCAGCAGGGTGACAACATGTACTGTCAGCACTGGGGGGTGATGTGAGGTTGTGGGATGAGTGGGGGGGAGAGTAGGACCCTCAGCAGGGTGACAACATGTACTGTCAGCACTGGGGGGTGATGTGAGGTTGTGGGATGAGTGGGGGGGAGAGCAGGACCCTCAGCAGGGCGACAACAGGTACAGTCAGCACTGGGGGGTGATGTGAGGTTGTGGGATGAGTGGGGGGGAGAGCAGGACCCTCAGCAGGGCGACAACAGGTACAGTCAGCACTGGGGGGTGATGTGAGGTTGTGGGATGAGTGGGGGGGAGAGTAGGACCCTCAGCAGGGCTACAAAGGGTACAGTCAGCACTGTGGTGGGATGGGGTGGGGGAGGCTTCTTATTTTATACAGACTTGTGACCTTTTTTGCAGGACTAGCAGAAACAAAATCCCACTAGCCCTCTAGGCTTGTTTAGTTTTTGACTTGGTTTCCATCCCTGTCAGTACAAGACAAATTCCTCTGTAATAGTCATTATGTCCTGGGGCATGGGTGGCCCAGTCGTCTAAGGCGCCGCGATTCGCTGTGCGGACTTGGGTCCCTTGCGCTCGACAGAAACCTATGATTGTGGGTTCAAATCCCGGTTCGCCCCGATTATGTTTCGATTATGTGCTCGTTGGTTTCACCCAAGTGGTAAACATCTGAGAACGTCCTGCTTTCCTCCAACATTAAGCTGACACACCGTGATATACCTGGAATACCGTATTTTGTTGAGTATAGTGCCACCCATGTATAATGCACACACCCCTCTGGCGGCTTCAATATTTTGGAAAAAAAAGAAATTTGAATATTATGCGCGGAAAAAAATTACACCGTACCCCTTCAGTGAAGTCCGGCAAACGAACGGGTGATAAGAAACTTCATCAGTACAAATTCGAAATTTGAGATAAAATATCACCAGACCTGTTGATTTACCGTTTAATTGTATTTTTTGTTCAGCTAGGCATTGTTTTCTATCCAGTCTGACCAGTCACCGTCAAGGCTCCCGTGCACGTGATTGTGTGATCGTGAGAATTATGTGTTGACATAGAATCGTCCAACAAAAACAAATATGACTTTTTACAAATCAAAGTATGGCATTTATGATATATGTATCCATTCTCTGTCAACTAAAGTTCGTTTCAAGGCGTCAATAGCGGTAATCTGACCGTGGTTGATGTTAATAACGGTGAGTTGTGCGATCTTCCGATCGCTTCACACACGATTTCGCCGAAATTAATTAAAACAATATTAAAAGGAATTTTGAATAAAATTAATGAAATAAGTTACAAACATAAGTCCAGATATACAAAGAACACTTTTTATAGCCAGACAGTGTAATTACATGAATAATTTGCGAACTTCAGTATGGATTTGTTGACATGGTATTTCCGGTGTTACGTGCTCACGGTAATGTCTTTCCATGGGAGAAAAAACATCAAAACTCATTAATTCATGTATAATGCGCACCCCCTTCTACACAGCTGTGGTTTTTTTTAAAAAGTGCGCACTATACTCGAGAAAATATGGTACGGTTAAATGCAATTACTGTTAAACCCAACTCACTCACTCACTCATTATGTCCTCCAGTTGAAAGAAAATTGTTGCAGTTACCATTGATATGTATGTATTCTTCCTACACCACTGACTGAACTGGCTCTACTTCCAGAAGCTACACCCCTGACTGGGTGGAGATGACTAGCAACTACCGTGAGGGTCGCGGAGCTCAGCCACGGCTGTCAGCACAGAGTCAGCCAGACCTGACCTTTGGCCGGCATTCCACTGGTCAACTGCCACAGGGGTATCAAGGAGATGGCTCATTCACAGTGCGACCTTCGACATCAGACAAGATGAGTCACCACAAGCGATACAAGCTCAAGAAAAAGGGGGATCGTCAGGGGGGTTACTATCAGACCGGGAGTCAGACCAACTTGCCCCCTGACTATGCCACCACCTACAGCCTCCCACACCACAAACATCGTCCCGCATCAGCCATCGACTTCATCTCGCGCCATGAATCATCCCAGCTCCGTCATAGCCATGAACACCTCCACAGTCGACCCCAGTCAGCCATGGGCTTGCCCGGTGTGCCCAACAACCGTAGTCGCCCCAGTCATCATCAAGTCATCAGTCGCCGTCATCAGGACGGTGTGATGAACAGATCCATGCCTGGTACTATAAACACTTCTCATTCATCGTCAACGATTCATTCTTCACATCTCAATAACTCCTTCCCAGCCCAGAGGTCTTTCTCCCCCTTCCCACATGACTCCCCCCGAATCCGAGTGAACGGACAGAGGCGGGAGAGTTACCCTGACAGCTTCCATGGAATTCCGGGTAGTAATTATGGTGTGTATGGTGACGAGGAACACGGTATTACTAGTGCTCATAACTTAAAATACAGCGACCCGAACCGGCATTACATTGACAGTAGTCAGTCCGACCCACGCTACACGGACGACCTTGACCTAGCTGTGTCTTTAGCTGATAGTCTGAGTGACCAGGCCAATGTTGCACTCCAGGACGGGATCACACAGAGGACCATGTCGCAAGGCTTCGACACTCAGATCACTTCTCCAGGCTCTGAGGACCAGGGGCCTGGGATAGAGTCGGCCTCCAGCCACAACAAGAGTGATCGCAGCATGCATACATCAGACCTCCAGCTCAACCTGGAGTCTGTGCAGGACGCTCGGAGTGACACGGGGGAAGCTCACATACAGCAGCCAGTCTTGTGCTCCGATTCCTCCGACCAACCAAACTCCTCCTTTGATGAGTCTGTGAGGTCCGAGTCTCGGAACAGTGAACTTAAGATGGAGGAGAGCTCGGACATCCTTCCCACCAGTCAGTCACAGTCCCCCTCACATTCCTCCGACACAGAGTTGAGGAGAGTTCCTCCAGCGGCCGTCCCTATCCTCACCCCAACTCACAACTCTGTGTCGGACACCAACGGTAACACCTCCCACCCTGGCTTCTCCTCACACTCCAGGAACTCAAGGCTTGACATAAACCCCTTTGAGAACTCTGTGCTTTCGTTTGATGAGAGGTTGCTGTCAAATCACAAACCCCTGAACAAACCAGCTGATGTCGAGAGGCAAAAGTCCGACAGATTTAACTCGAGGACACGAAACACAAACAGGTTGTCCTCTCCCTTCCCCCAGCCACGCCCGGCTGACTTCGCCCCAGACCTGCACACGTCCCCCGAGGAAACTGATGGTCTTCAGGCCAAGAAAGATATCAAGAAAAAGAAGGAAAAAACAAAACGATATAATTCCATGGAGAACCTTTCCAAATCCTCAGAGGATGTCAGTTCCAAGAAAACTTTCAAGTCGTCACTGAAGCACTTCTTTGGGAAGAAGAAGTAGGTATTTCTTCAGTCTGTTCCAACAATGAATGAATAATTAACAGTCAGCTAGTTCATGATGCTGTGGTACTTAGATGCATGTACGGTCTGCATCTTGTGCAATTCTCAGTGTATAAATTGCATGTCAGCTAATTGGGATTTCAAAAGTTTCATGGGATTCTGTGATTAATACAGTGTGGTATATTAACAAAGTAACACTGTCAAGGATGATCAGCTGTCATTGCATGTTGAATGTGTTGGGGAAAGTCATCCATCATATGTAACATCTGTTATTCTAAACCCCATGTAGCCAGAGGCGTACTCTGTGGTTATTGTGTTTTATCTATTGCTTATTGTATGAGGGACAAAATGGGAGTCTGTTCTCCCTAATGTCTGCCTTCCTGGCATTGTTAGTGTCTCATCGTACCCCACTGTGTGGATGGACATGTCACATCGCTGGCACGCAGATCCACGACCACCATATGGCTCAAAACTGCTGACTAAGGTCTAAAGCCTTTTCACTCATCAATGAACATTTCTATTTGAATTTCTGTAAGTCACATGTAAAGACTTGAGAGCCAGTTCAGCATGTAGTCTCATACTTTGTACTAATGGGTGAATTTTGTCCACATTTTGTCTTGTCTGTAGGTAGGACAGGGTATCACTGACATAGTGTACGTATTGGAGTTGTGAGCTGTGTAGCTGTTGTTGGACGTTGTTGAAGTGCACGGATCTGTCACGGGGAAAGGGAGACAACTAGAGTTAGGCACTGGGGTTCATTACCAGGGTTTGGCTGTTTATTTGTTTATTCAGTGTTCTAGCAATAGGAAAGGGGAACTAAAAAGTTTGTATCAATCACAAAACAAATGGTACCTCAACATTTTCCAGTTAATGTTGAATCTTTGACTTATAATCATCATGATAATCCATGCACTTCAAATCAATTCTGTTACTGACTTCATCTTCTGTAATTGTATTGTAGAATCTATCTCTCTGTCATTGTTCCACCTGTTGTGTTGCTGGCATGCCGTGTCTTCATGTGCACATCAGGTTATTAATATCCCTCCACCTGTCCACCTGTCTCTACCTGTCTCCACCTGTCTCTACCCTCTCGCCCTGTCTCTACCCTCTCGTCCTGTCTGCACCTTCATCTAGACATCTGTTACAGTCAGGGAGTAAAACATTGTCTTGTTTCTGATGCACACATGTACTTTGATGTAAATTATGAACATGGACAAACAACCGCTGTGGCGCTGAACAAGGGCAGGTAGACACTGGTGACATTTCCAGTGTGTGGTCCTTTGATGACTGGAAGTATGGAAACACAGAAAGCCTGTGTAGGTGCGGAGACGATACATGTCCTCTCCCTGGGTAGCTACAATCCTCCAATAACAACCTGCAATTGCCCAATTTCTATACAGATGTTTATTTACTGATTGAGTGCAGACATCTCACATACATGAACTGAATAATATTCATAAAACACTCTATGTGTATGTCTTGCTTATTGTTACGTATGTATATCGCTCTGTGTGTTGATGTTGCTCATTCGGAGCAGCACACGGCCAACATGTCTACTCATTGGTGTGAAAATGCCAAACAGACTGGACCAAAGGGAGTAAAAATCATTGCCCAATGAGAATGACAACAGGTGACTAAATACTCCATGACCAATGACATTATCTGGAGATATTGATGGGCCTAACAGCCTGTTTCAGTCTCAGGTTGTTAGGTTTCACCACATGTCAACTGGGTTGACCCTGTGAGATTCTTGGTCAGAACAGATTCCTGAGAATTACCTCATTGGGTGGTTATAATAACAGAAATATTGCTGAGGCATTAAACAACATTCACTCACTAATTTGATTCTATTTCTTTCATGTATCTCCTCTGTTGTGCCTGTTTGTTGTTGACTAACCTGTTTGGTGTTTGCATGCAGTGGGCTGCTTCCCAGCCTCCCCAGGGTCAAGCCGTCGCCCCACCCACAGCCAGGGTGAGTCAGCCTTTGGCAGCAGCAGTTGTCTCCCTTTGTGGTGGTGGTAGTGGCCTGCACAGAGCGCTGACCTTGAACGTCACTTGCACTCTGGGATGATCTGATGATCTATAGATGCAGTGTTGGAAATTAAGCTTGGAGGTCCAGGGGCCCTTGTCATAACACTGGTGTTGAATGTTTGTTGGTTCCCAAGATTAAAATAATGTAGGTGCAAACCTCAAGGACCCCAGGGCCTCCTACATTCCGAACACTTTAGATGGCAGTAAATTCCTATTAATCACATCAATGTGGAATGAAAAGCTAAATGCCTAATATCTGTCTGTATTCTGCCCTTGATGCTTTGTCTTTTTCTAGCATCTCTTGTCTGCTTTGTTGTAGTATCATATGTACATAAGCAGAAAAGAAGTCTTCGTTCTCAGGGACTGTCATCTTCAATAGTTCACAGATTTTGATACACTACGTTCTGCCATCCCCTGTGTATACATACAGCCACTATGCAGTGTAGTTGCTATTTTAACTGATGGATCAAACCTCAATCAGCTATCAGACAACATTGGCCATATGTCTCGTGCAACGTATCCATGTGACAATCTGCACACTGCTTCATGTCCGGCACTTGTAGAGCTGGCACCAAGTCCATGCATGGAGTAGAGTTTCCCTCAGTTACACACGGCCTCACTTCATGACCCCTCAAACCAGACCCACATCCCTACTGCAACACACACAGGTTGCATGTCCGGGACTTGTAGAGCTGGCACCAAGTCCATGCATGGAGCAGAGTTTCCCTCAGTTACACACGGCCTCACTTCATGACCCCTCAAACCAGACCCACATCCCTACTGCAACACACACAGGTTGCATGTCCGGGACTTGTAGAGCTGGCACCAAGTCCATGCATGGAGTAGAGTTTCCCTCATTTACACACAGCCTCACTTCATGACCCCTCAAACCAGACCCACATCCCTACTGCAACACACACAGGTTGCATGTATCCATAGGTGATGAAGGAACGTGGTGTATGAAGACCTGTGAAGTACTGACGATGAGGTACTCTGCATCTGAAGAATAACATCATGGCCAAGATGTTAGAGATGGAACGTCCCAAGTTGTTCAAAAGTCATTGACTGAGAACCTTTTTGCTTGTATGATTATTATTCATATATTTGATTACCTATCTGTATATCAGCTAACAAAACTATCAACATCATTGCTTGACTTCATCAAATAACTGGATATGGGTAAGCATGAGTTCCAGGACTGATGGAGGATGTTGTCCTTTCGTTTATGTTGTACCTGCTTCCATGATGCTGACTTCCTATCTATACTACTCAACAGACGTTCATGAAAACCCAATCATGGCATGACACACGGTAGTCATATGAAAACATCGGGTGTTCTTTAACTTCTTTTGAGTCATATATATTGCTTGGTATTAACTTTTAACCCTCACGTGATAAGATTGGCCTTGCTTTTGCATTCTACAGTGTTTTGGTTGTAAGTTTTTTGTCAGTAACGGGTCAGTTTAAATTTTGACAATATCATGCATATTATGTACATGTGTTTTCATCAGGAATTTTGTATATCATCTTCACGAAAAGTACTTTGGCTTGTCAACAATAATTAACATTTAATGTCATTCAGTAATATACTAATTACTATCAGAGTCAGGCAAATAATCCTAGATTTATCAAAATAGTTCATTACCTGTTCACATTCATGTCAAATTGAGTTTGGACATAATTAGAAGATAATTATTTCCTGATGTTTCCAGAGGTTCGGTGCGAATGGACAAACTAGAGGCCCAGTTTGCCAGGGAGCATGGCATCCACTACATTCCTCCAGGACCTACCGACAAGGGAGGTAACTCCGCTCTCAACAACAACAATGACACTAAGATACCACTAGTGAAACTTGTTGAGCAACAGAAGTCGTGTAGTACTGCATAGGATCAGTAGGTCTCCGACAGTTTCCTCGCTTGCTCGTGTTAGGAAAGATGGCATCCGACTAGAAGTTGTATCATTGAGCCCTTGGAGCGAGGACAGGATAGTGGGAATCCATGCTGGTATTACATGTTGACAGGTGTTGCCATGGACAGAGGGTGTTAAATAGATGTGTGGCTGAGTGGCACCTGATGGACAGGACAGTGTCTCAAAGTTGTCAAAAGTCATCTTCCTGAGGCAAGACAGCTAACTGACTATAAAAGTCCAGATTCCACCCCTGCCGAACTAGGCTGGTATAATGGAGTTACATTTTGGCTGGACAAACGAGTCTATGCATAGTCAAATAAAATTTGTGCAACAAGATCAAAATCCGGTTCATAAACTGTCGTGCAGATTTCGGTCGATTGCGTGATTTGCAAAGCATGCGCACTCCAAAATTTGTCAACAGATGTTTTGCAAGCCTTTTCTTGTTTTTGATCAAGATGCTCACATGATTTGATGCACTCCACTATGAAAGACCTGTTTTATCACAATGAAGATCTTGATGAACAATCAGATTGTCTTGACTGGGCTATGCCATTTTGTTTGAAACAAATGCAAGTTATACGAGAGGTGGAATCTGATATGTTCCTTCTAAACCTCTCCTATGGAAGAAACTTGTAGTAACCACTGGTGGCGCTAGGATTGAGCCCAGGAATTCCAGCCTAGTTCGGAAAGGGTGGAAACTGGACTTTTAAAGTCATTTAACTCCCTTGCCTCGAGAAGATGTCAAAAGTGGGACAAGTTTTGGACTAAGTTAAATGCAGTGTGCTTCTTTGACTTTTGCAATGTGTACATTGTTGGGAAAGATGTGTTGCAACATGTACAATGTTGGGATAGACATGTTGCAATATGTATAATGTTGGAATGGACTTGTTACAGAGTGTACAATGTTGGGTGGAAATATTGTTGCAATGTGTACAATGTTAGGATAGACATGTTGCAATATGTTCAATGTTGGAATGGACTTCTTGTTGCTATATGTACAATGTAGGGTGGACATTGTTGCAATGTGTACAATGTTGGGATAGACATGTAATATGTACAATGTTGGGATAGACATGGTGTAATATGTACAATGTAGGATGGACATTGTTGCAATGTCTCCAATGTTGGGATAGACATGTAATATGTACAATGTTGGGATAGACATGGTGTAATATGTACAATGTTGGATGGACATATTGTTGCAATGTGTACAATGTTGGATGGACATATTGTTGCAATGTGTACAATGTTGGATGGACATATTGTTGCAATGTGTACAATGTTGGATGGACATATTGTTGCAATGTGTACAATGTTGGATGGAAATATTGTTGCAATGTGTACATTGTAGACATGTCTTTGAGGATGAATTCTGTGGACCAAGCAACAATAGTCTGTGAGGACAGAGGTCCTGTGATTACACAGCACTGGTGTTACTTGTACAACACTCCTGGGCTCCATTGTATCTGTAGCAACAGATGGTTATATTTAAATGTGTAAGCTGTTCCAATGGACAACTTTGTGCTGCTGCATGTATTGTCAATAGTTGAAGCACGATAGCTCAAGAGTTGCAACATATTTAATTACATGACTTTGGATCCAATAGACGACCGACCGATAAATATCAGTGTCCTCTGCATGAGAGTTGTCAGAAGCAATTGTGTTCCGTAATGGTTAACACTAAGATTACCTTGAGATCACTGCATACCCGACTGTACTGATAGTGATATACACACGAAACATGCTTCAAGTGTAAGTGCCGTCTAACACGACTGAGACATCTATTACATTTACCAGTTGAAGTTTTGGATTCAGCACATGAGCACTTCTGAAGTCTCTGGGAATGTAACCACGAGCTGTGGGTGTTTACTTGTATGTTGTCAGGATATAGTTCTGTGTTACAAGGACTGCAGCAGGATTCGTAATACAGTGACTATTTCTGATTTATGCAAAGTGTTTTCTTATGACAATGTGTGATGATACAGCCGGGGTAGATGTTGCCTGGTTCTGGCAGCTGCAGTGATCTGTCCCGTGCTATGTCTGATGAGATGTTTGTTATCCAGAGGACCACATAGCAATGTACAGACAATATTGCATACCTTTGTCTGGCATTAACAGTCAGGGTGGCATAATGCATACCTTTGTCTGGTATATACAGTCAGTGTGGTATTATGCATGCCTTTGTCGGGTATTAACAGTCAGTGTGGTACATGTTACCAGTCAACGACAATTCAGTCTTCTCATCAAGTTTTAAATTATGCAATCTTAACAGATACATGTGCCTTCCAACTTGGAATATTTTTGACATGTTGCATTATCAACAGTATAATTTGTAAATTGTAAATACCATAGGATATTTATATTTCACCAAATCATGCATTACTCATACCAGCATCATTGCATAGAAAACTAGAAATAATGTGCCAGTAAGAGTGACACGGTGAGTGAGGTAGTAGGGTTGTCAGGGTTGTCAGGGAGTGATAGACTCACCACTTTGGTTTGGTCCATGGACCTGGGTACGTGCAAACAATGGAAGTTTCAAAATCTGATCTAAGGATCCTTGATCATCTAAGGGACACAACTGAACCACCCTGCACCTATTTATGAAAGGACTTCAGCCTCTACTACAAAGACAACTTTAGCAATCTCTCTAGTGTGATCTGCAAGCATTTGTTCACTATGCAGTATCTTAAACAAGATTGTGTGTCAAATTTTGAGCATATCCTAAGTAGAATTGTGTTGCTGGCATGAAGTTGTACCAAAGATGAACTGTATGTTAGTCACAGGCTAGTATTTATAGTACGATTTTAAAACAGTTAAATAGTCCAGACTGGTTCAGTTGAGACACTACTAGTGCCCCAGGCATGGAGTTGTGTGTGAGGAAGACTGTGTAGTATTCACTCGTTCAGTTACGTTTTGTGTGTATGATTATATCACTTGATTCCTTTCATGACATGTTATTATATTATTTCATTGCCACATCTTTATGTTATTCTCATTTCCCTTGACAAGCCTGGTGTTTATTTGGTTGGCCAGTAGCCAGACTGATATTACATATTAATAGTCACACCAGGGGAAACAGTGGGAGGTGTAAGTCACAATAAAACCTGTGATGCCTTGAATAAATGTGCTTTCTGTTTAAGTGCTAGATGTAAAAATTGTACATATAGATTCTTTTTGTAAGTTTGTATTGTGAATACTTTTTGAAAGCTCTGATCACTATTGGAAAATATTCATAATCATATTTTTTCTTAGGAAACTGATTAAATGTTCAAAACAGCAATTGCCATTTCTAAAATAGTCATGTAGTTCCTTGTAATGAGGAAAACATACAACTTTATGGACAGCATCTTCTGGTCTATTGCCTATAGCGTCATTTCGATGTAGATTCTTACACCAATATCAGTGTTGATAACAGTAATAATCTACATGCAAACGTTTTTCTCACCAACTTCTAGAATGCTAACAAACAGTCCATGTACCGGTAATTACCAATTCAGAGTACACAAAACCATTTGCCACATCAATCAACTTTACAATCAAATATTTTATGAATATTTTTTACTGTTACATTTTGGTTTTTAAGGTAATAAAACATCATACTTTTTATTGTCTAGTTTTAAGGGATATAAGAGCAAACTTTTGTAACTGTATATCTGGTCACACATAGTACATACAAGGAGAAGCATTGGGCACAGACCCTATGTATTATATGTGAATGAAGAGTACATTTACAATGTAATAATGATGTGCCATGTTTGATAGATTTGTAATTTGTATTTAATACAGAAGGTATGAGAATAAGTGTACTTCCTGTTCCATGTTCAGAGTCATGGGTTTGTTTTACAAATCATTCATTGTATTCAAATCAAATTTCACTTGAAATAAACAATATGCATTTATATTAAGTGTTATATTGTTACTTCCTGGAAATCTGTCCATACAGGAACTTTTGAATTACTTGTCAATAACATGATTTCACCACTAATAGTCAGTTGGCCAGGGGTGAAAAACAAGATTTTCGTTCCCACATTTTCCTGCATACCTTAAACCTTTTCTATTGCATTAAGGAGGTATCTGTACACAATTTTTATTGGGTAGTAAGCTTGCAAGTGTGTGCAGGAATTTTCAGGGGGTCAACATTGCGTAAATTGAAGGAAAAATGCATAATTTGACAAAATTGGCTTTAACATTTTTATTAAGTCATTAAACTATCCAAATTATGTCTTTGATATAAGGTAATATGTTCGGTTATCTGAATTTGGCACACATTTTCCTTCATTTAACTGTTATTCTAATTCTCAGTGGAAACATTGGTAAAAGTCATGTTTTTTTACTTCATTTTCAAATCTTGTGAGTAGTTAAAACACTAATTCCATTGAATTGTGACAATAAAACCACTATAACTGGGCATTAAAATTTGCCTTAACCATTGTACTATCCTATACAAAAAACAAAATGAAATATATTACATAGGGGTTGAGATATTGTATACAAGATGTTTCAAGTTTTTGTGTGAGCATTTATGGTGGCCATCTTGAATTTCAAGATGGCCACCATTTTTTACCTGTTTTCAAAATCAAGATCTTATATAGTTCTTCAACATGATCATGTAATATATCATATGAAAGCCTTTTACATTGTATTTTCAATGATGTACATTATTCACTGACTCCTGTGGTAAATTGACACCCAACAATGAAAAAAGGAAATATTGAAATCTAATTTCTCTCGCGACTTCAACCCATACCCAAATTTAGATTTATATTAAAATTTCACTCAAAATTGTAGATATACTGCACTTTAGTTCTTCAACATGGTCTTGTAATATATCATATGAAGGCTTTTTTACATTGTCTTTTCAATGATGTACCTTATTCACTGACTTCTGTGGTAATCTTATCCCCCAATAATACAACAAATGATATATCGAAAGCTAATTTCTCTAGCAACACCGACCAACCTCCAAAGTCGTATTTTAATAAAATGGACATCGTTTCACTCAAAATTGTAGATATACTGCACTTTTGTCTGAACATTTCACTAGTTTATAATTTGACTGAAAAAACAGACATTAGAATACTTGTAGTATTATGAAGTATTAAAAATAAAATGTGAAATAATGTCATCTCTAGTCACTGTCAGAGACTGTCTCATCTGGAGAGGTAGGTAAGTTGTTTCTGTTTAGGCATGACATACCACAATTGCATCCAAGGGAACATCCCATGATGTTCTTGGCGTAGCTACACCTGGATGAGGAGCATCTGCCTGTTGTGCATTTACAGGTGAGCAATTCAAGACACAGTGCTGGCATTCATTCCTGGGTCATTGGGATTGGTTCTATGACATCCTCAGTAGACGACCACCTATACTCTTCTGGTGGTGGAATGTCAGCCTTTCCTTTGTGTGCAGACCACCACGTGATGCACTGGTGCTGACATCTGAGTAGAGGTTGTGTGGTGGGAGTTCCTCTAGGTCTCGTTTTGAGTGAGACGATGTCCATTTTATTAAAATACGACTTTGGAGGTTGGTCGGTGTTGCTAGAGAAATTAGCTTTCAATATATCATTTGCTGTATTATTGGGGGATAAGATTACCACAGAAGTCAGTGAATAAGGTACATCATTGAAAAGACAATGTAAAAAAGCGTTCATATGATATATTACATGACCATGTTGAAGAACTATATAAGATCTTGATTTTGAAAACAGGTAAAACTGGCGGCCATCTTGAAATTCAAGATGGCCACCATAAATGCTCACAGAAAAACTTGAAACATCTTTTTTTCTTTATGAGTTTACTATTTTGGTGTTTTTAAGCATTGTTGCAACTATCCCACTCATCCATTACAGCAACATCATCTACCACCATATCTCAATAAGCCATTTTCGTCAAAATTGGTTTTTGGGGGGTGGGGTAACATTGTATACAATATCTCAACCCCTATGTAATATGTTTTCATTTTGTTTTTTGTATAGGATAGTACAATGGTTAAGGCAGATTTAAATGCCCATTAATGCATTTGTCCTTCAATTTATGCAATTTTGACCCCCTGAAAATTCCTGGCAATTCCACTTGCAAGCTTACTACCCAATGAAAACTGTGTACAGATATCTCCTTAATGCAATAGAAAAGGTTAAGGGTATACAGGAAAATGTGTGAACGAAAATCAAAACTAAGCCTTTTTTCCGCTGGTGGCCAACAGACTATAATGATATATACTCAACAACAAAAGTTCCTGTGACACCAATATTTTAGTGTATTTTTCAAACAAGTATAGTTTGGTTTTCAATATTGTAGTACATGAATGGAATCAACTCACAAAAACGCAACTGCAACAGAAAAGCATGCATTCCATGCAAATGTTGACTTTTATGCAAACCCCATGCATTTCACTACCCAAGAATGTGTATAAAAACGTGCGTTAACAGGATTCCATAAGCATTGTTTAGCATCGTGCTGACAACAACCACGCGATACAACTCCAAGAACAACGAAGAACGAAGCGTAGTTTATTTCACAATAAGACATTATTCTAGCATGTCATTTCTGGAGATTCGAACATGCGCTCGCAACTTGAAGAGGTCGTAAATTGGACGATCATATTTTTCATAGGGAAGTGTCTTGTGACTTAGTAGACACAAGTTATGGCTAACAACTTCTTTAATACTGTATAGGCGACGTTTCGCTATGGATCCTTATACCGCTGTCAAGCAAGACAGTCTTGTTTGTCAAGGTATAAGGATGTATACCGTCATCCGACAACTTCTAAATAATGTCTCAAATAATTCGTCAAAGATGTATCTGGGCAACGTAAATAAATACAATCACCAAACGATCGCTTCTAAAAGTGGGAGAGATAAGTAAATTGGTCATGACTGTAAAGCGAAAAAACCGGTAGATTTTAAGCACAGTGTAAACTTAACGACAAACATTAATTCATCATTTTTAAAATGATTTTCTGAATGTTTGGGGTTAAATGACAGCATGTCGTATTTTCAGTACTGTTCTCTGTGCTCTAGATATCACACATGAGTCGGAGGCCCGGGTGGCACAGTCGTCTAAGGCGCGCGATTTGCTGTGCAGAGTTGCAACCCTTGGGCCCGGGCTCGTGGGTTTCACCAAGTAGTGAACGTCTTGGATAGCATCTCTTTGCGCTTTCCTCCCACATTCAGCTGACACGCTGTGATGTAACTGGAATACCATACAGCTTAACACTCCGGCGTTACACCCAACTCACTCACCCACCACACATGAGTCGAATCAGAAGCAGAGTACGGGATTCACTTTTAAACTTATTTATTATGAATCTCCAACAAATCTTCATTCTGAAATGACAGTATATTGTTAAAGATCCACATATGCAGTATGAAATATATTAAAGAGAATTCTTCTCATCTGCAGAAATAAGATGAAGCTAGAGTAAGTACAACCAGGATCCTGATATTTGATGAAAGTCATTCTTTATCACGCGTAAACCAATACAGTGTGTTAAACAATATGAAGGATCACTTATGTTTGAGAATGGCTGACATGATCTAGCAGTACAGCAGGACATGGACACCTGGTTCATCTCTGAATTTTCGTGGGGCGGTCGGGTAGCCTTGTGGTTAAAGCGTTGGCTCGTCACGCCGAAGACCCGGGTTCGATTCCCGACATGGGTACAATGTGTGAAGCCCATTTCTGGTGTCCCCCGCCGTGATATTGCTGGAATATTGCTAAAAGCGGCGTAAAACCATACTCACTCACTCACTCACTCTGAATTTATTTCAGCAGATAAGCGAGGCTGATTGTCCGGCATTGACAGGCCATACGAAAATGGAAGTCACATGGTAATGATATATTTGAAACATCATTCATAATTGGAACACAATTACATTTAGAAAGTTAGGTGAAGTAGTATTCACTTCCAGTCAATATCCTGTTTTGTATGTGTGTCCATTCTTCACTTTCTTCGTCTGGAATGTTTTTCAGATGGAATATGTTATCTTCACTCACTACACTGAGCAGGAAATCAGGGAGGAGAGCCTCGTTGATCCTGCCGATCAACAAGAGAATAACCCTGCTTGGATTCGTGCTAGTTACAGCACTGGCTGCTATCTGCATTGTGAAATAGGACCAGTCATCGTCCAGGAAGTTCTCTGTGACAACCAGCACCGTCTTCCAGCTGTCATTAACACTGTCCACTACATGCTTTATGACCACATGTCCAGGAAGACAGTCATGACTGAGGATTAATCTCAACATGTATCTCTGCTTGAGAACCATTCCAATGCCATTACATGCTAAACTATTGTCCTGTTCACAGTGAGCAATGTAGGCATCTTTCTGAAAGTCGTCCCTGGTGACTATTTGGGCACCTCTGCCCAGCAGAAGCAGAAAGTGATGGTGGAAATACGTCATGTTCCTCAAAACCAACAGTGTGGACACAACCGCCATTATAAGAAGGCACATGAGAATGGCAGTAAACAACAGCCAGAAAACTCCTCTACATCTTCTCCAGTGCCAGTTGAAGTTTGCGTTGACTGCGCTTGTTGAGGTGATGACACCCTCTTCATCCACACAAGTGTAGTTACCTCCCTTATCTAGAGCAACATGTGTTGTAGAGAGCCATGTAACAAATGGGAGAGCCTGGCAGGAACACGATATGGGGTTACCTGCAAGCTTCAGCGTCAGCCTATTTCTGTACGAAATCGTGTCAAGAGTGTTCATTTCTTTGTCACTCATGTGTGTGAGCGAGTTCGTGGACAGGTCAAGGATGGTCAGATCTTTCGGTATGAAAGGCAGATCAAAAGGCATCTTCACAAAACTATTGTCAGCCAGATTAACATAGGATATATTTGTAAGTGGGTGTAAAAAATCACCTGGCAAGAACTGGATCTTATTTCCTGACATCTCTACCCTTGTGAGATGCACCAAACTACGAATACCGTTGTACAGTGGGCCATCAAGTAACAGTGCTCCTTGAGATAAAGCCTTGTTATTGAGGAACAATTGTGTGGCACAACTGAATGATTTAAGAAATTGTTCTGTCATTCTAAATTCCGTGTTCCCTGAGAAGTCCATACTCTGGATATGCTCGAGACCTCGCACGTGCTGTGGGGACCCCTTAATTCCGTTGTTTGCCAAATCAACCGTTGTCAAATGTTGACCACCTTTAATTTCTGACGAAAACAATTTTCCCATATTAGCAGAAAGTGATCTCAGCTTTAAGATTCGAAGGCTAGGTGGGAAATAAAACACAGCATTTGGAGCGTGGAGGTTTTTGTTCATAACTGCTGTGTTGGATCTAGTATCTTGTTCCTCTACGCCCTTTTGCAACACACCATCTATATCATTTTTTTTAAAGTTTATTTGAAATGATATATCTACATATTGTAGTTTCCTAAAAAAGGACAAAAGGAAAATGGTTCCGATATGTCCCACAATATAGTTATGAGAAAGATCGAGATACGTCAAACATTTACAGAATGTAAATACAAACGAGGTATCGATATAAAGTATTCTGTTGTGGGAGAAGTCAAGATGGCCTATGCAAATGTTCTTAAGAAGAGAGGTCGTTTCTTTACTAATCATTTGGTTTCTGAGTTGTTCTAAAGATGTTCCATGTGGATAAAAGCAATATGGACATATCATTTGTGAAATGTTCCTACCATTGAATCCAAACATGGCCCGAATCACAGGATCAATGCCCAAATATTTTACTGTATCCATGGAAACTGTGGTGATATGTGACAAGGGCAAAAACGTTCCAACCTCAATTAGATACAAGTCACAATATTGCAGGTCAAGCTGTGACAGTTTTGATTTTTCAAAAACTGAAAAAGTGTTATTATGCAATCTCATGATAGCACAATAAGGCTGGTCTGTCCAAAAGCTGCCCAGAGACAAACCTGTAAGTTTTTTCAATTGTGATAATCCGTTCCCAAAAGATTCATCCTGGAAAGTATCGATTGTGAGACTTTCTAAAGTCAGTAGGGTAACAAATATCTCATCGGGTATTTCCCCCGTCGTCCTTGGATCATTTCCGCCCAGATTCAAAACCTGTAAGCTTGTTAGTGGGAGGAAGATGTCTGAACTGTAGGTGTCTTTGTCCAGGACTAGATTGTTGTGGTCCATTCGCAATATCTGTAGGCGGCCCAATCCATGGAATGCTCGAGGTTCTAGACTGGACAGGTTGCAGTATGCCAGGTACAGCTGCACTAATTCAGGGACGTGATTAAAGGAGTAGTTCCTCAGCTGGTACAGGTTGTTATGTTGGAGTTGAAGTATAACAGTGTCTGCTGGCAGGGCCTTTGGGATGTTGGTCAGGCTCCGATTCTGGCAGTCAACTGATGTTCCGTTGAGCACGTCATTGTGGGTTATAGAACAATGGTGCCTTGGGTTGACCGAAGCTACAATGGATGGTGGGGATGATACTGATGAAGTGGCGGCTAGGCTTGTCCAGACGGTTGTCATCAGATTCAGAAGGTTCAACAAAGTGGTCATTATTCTTGAGCTGAAAGAAATGGACAAAACAGGGAGTGAGAATTTACTCTGAAAACAGAATGAACTGATGAAACTTTGTAGTCAGTATTAGTCCGTCTTTAGTCATTGTCAATGAGAACATTAGCAAATCAGTTATGTCATGTCCCTAGAAGAATAACAACTATGCATGGAAGTCATGTTTGTTTGTTTGTTGTTTAACACCGCACTCAGCAATATTCCAGCTATATGACGGCGGTTTGTACATAATGAAATCTGGACCAGGCAATCCAGTGATTGACATATCATCGATCCACGCAATTGGGATATGATAACATGCATCATGCGGGCTTGACCACCGATCCCGTTAGTCGCCTCTCACGGCAAGCATGGGTTGCTGAAGGCCTATTCTACCACGGAGAAGTATCCCTTGTACCACGTGTGGAGTATATCTTGTACCACGTGTGGAGTGCGCATGCTTGCTTCAGTTCCTGTTTCCGGTGTTCCACGGACGTTTCCGGTGTCCGTGTCATGGTTAGGATTCTGCGACCATGCCTGAACAGGGTACGCTGGATTCTGTTTCAATGGTTAACTCGATTACTCAACAAAAGCAACAAACCATTTCCATAGCAACAAGATATTTCTGCTAAAAGGAGGTCCCAGGCCTATAGTACATGTGACAGATATGTTGCACACAATTTTAACTATTATTTACAAATTTGGTTTTATATAACAGTGGTTGGAATATATACATGGCTAACTTTTGCATTATTAATTTCTCTAGACTGTTTAACAATTGTCGGAAATTAACAATATTTGTATTATTAAAGTAGTGTACAGGTACATATTTTTTCTCACAGTGGAGTACAATGGACATACAGGTACAAAGTGATATTCATCCTCTATATCCTGGTTATTACACATTTTACATAATCGTTCTGACCTTGGAGTTTTTGTGTATCTCCCACTCTGGCTCGGCTCGGCTCGGCTCGGGGCGGGGCGGGGCGGGGCGGGGCGGGGCAGGGCAGGGCAGGGCAGGGCAGGGCAGGGCAGGGCATGCTTATTCTTTTCGCGAACACCTGGTGCCATCAGTGATGTTCAGTGATCCATTCCTATATTTTCACAGCTATTTTGCCCGGTACGCTAATAGAGTCTGTTTCAGCGGATAATCTACACTTGCTATGCGTATGCATTGACAATTTATTTTAAAGTAACTTAAATCTAAAGGTGTATTAAAACATTCTGTAACGCAAAAAAATCTACAATGAGATGGCAGAACTGTAGTTTTGTCGATAACGCAACATGTAGTTACTATAGGTGAACCTATCCGCAGTTCAATCAACAGGATAGCATTAACGTATTACATTGTTACAAATGTTGTATCAAACTACAGTAAAACCTGTGTATAATGCCACCTTTTCATATTGGATAAGATGGCATTATAACCGTGATGGCGTTATAACCAGTTGGGTGGTAGGCTTACTGATCAAGATCAATGTTCTTAAGAGAGGTATTGTTCTCTAAACGATGAACGATAATGATACATATTGGTGAACATTACCCTCTAAACTTGACTTTACAGATTTTGACGTCATCTGTTGACATGTTCTGCAACGTATATATAATTCGTTATTGCTACTCGCTTGCTGTAAAATTGCGGCACAAACTAAGCGGGGTCACGGGTGGCCCAGTCGTCTGAGGCGCCGTGATTCGTTATATAGAGTTGCGTCCCTTAGGCACGCCAGAAACCTATGATTGTGGGTTCGAATCCCTGTTCGCCCCGATTATGTTTCTAGGTATGTCAGCACCATACCCGTGCTCGTGGGTTTCACCGAAGTGGTAAACGTCTGAGACCTGCGTCACTTCAGGTTTTCCTCCCACATTGAGCTGACACGCCGCAATATAACTGTAATACTGTTAAAAGCGTCGTTAAACCCAACTCACTCACTCACAAACAAAGCTAAACAAACAAAACAAAGAGTTCAGGAAGACATGACCGTTGCTCATGTGACCCCGACCTGTCTTCCTGAGTGAAAGTACAACCGGAGTCTCTGTAACTGTGGCGTATGGACAAAGCAGTGGTACACATAATGTTGTTGTGGAAGCAATATTTTCCATGTACATTGCTCTGTCCCTTCAAGTAAACCCTTCTTCTTTAAAGAGCAAATCTACCAATGCTCTGTTACAATGACACATATAACGATACACAATCCATCCTACTCATTCTCCTATTCACATTATTTCACATACTATCCAAGCAGGACCCTCTCCCACACATATTACCAGACACACAATCTAAACTAGTCATCCTCCTGTAAATATGACTTACAACCCAACCAACACCCTCTCCTACACATATTAGCAGATACACAATCCAAACTAGTCATCCTCCTGTAAATATGACTTACAACCCAACCAGGACCCTCTCCAACATATATTACCAGACACACAATCTAAACTAGTCATCCTCCTGTAAATATGACTTACAACCCAACCAACACCCTCTCCTACACATATTAGCAGACACATAATCCAAACTAGTCATCCTCCTGTAAATATGACTTACAACCCAACCAGGACCCTCTCCTACACATATTAGCAGACACATAATCCAAACTAGTTATCCTCCTGTAATTATGGCTTACAACCCAAACAGGACCCTCTCCTACACATATTACCAGACACATAATCCAAACTAGTTATCCTCCTGGAAATATGGCTTACAACCCAAACAGAACCCTCTCCTACACATATTACCAGATACATAATCCAAACTAGTTATCCTCCTGTAAATATGACTTACAACCCAACCAACACCCTCTCCTACACATATTACCAGATACATAATCCAAACTAGTTATCCTCCTGTAAACATGACTTACAACCCAACCAGAACCCTCTCCCACATATATTACCAGATACATAATCCAAACTAGTCATCCTCCTGTAAATATGACTTACAACCCAACCAGGACCCTCTCCAACATATATTACCAGACACACAATCCAAACTAGTCATCCTCCTGTAAATATGACTTACAACCCAACCAGGACCCTCTCCAACATATATTACCAGATACACAATCCAAACTAGTCATCCTTCTGTAAATATGACTTACAACCCAACCAGGACCCTCTCCTACACATATTACCAGACACACAATCCAAACTAGTCATCCTCCTGTAAATATGACTTACAACCCAACCAGGACCCTCTCCAACATATATTACCAGATACACAATCCAAACTAGTCATCCTTCTGTAAATATGACTTACAACCCAACCAGGACCCTCTGCTACACATATTACCAGATACATAATCCAAACTAGTTATCCTCCTGTAAACATGACTTACAACCCAACCAGAACCCTCTCCCATATATATTACCAGATACATAATCCAAACTAGTCATCCTCCTGTAAATATGACTTACAACCCAACCAACACCCTCTCCTACACATATTACCAGACACACAATCCAAACTAGTTATCCTCCTGTAAACATGACTTACAACCCAACCAGAACCCTCTCCCACATATATTACCAGATACATAATCCAAACTAGTCATCCTCCTGTAAATATGACTTACAACCCAACCAGGACCCTCTCCTACACATATTACCAGACACACAATCCAAACTAGTCATCCTCCTGTAAATATGACTTACAACCCAACCAGGACCCTCTCCAACATATATCACCAGATACACAATCCAAACTAGTCATCCTTCTGTAAATATGACTTACAACCCAACCAGGACCCTCTCCTACACATATTACCAGACACACAATCCAAACTAGTCATCCTCCTGTAAATATGACTTACAACCCAACCAGGACCCTCTCCAACATATATTACCAGATACACAATCCAAACTAGTCATCCTTCTGTAAATATGACTTACAACCCAACCAGGACCCTCTGCTACACATATTACCAGATACATAATCCAAACTAGTTATCCTCCTGTAAACATGACTTACAACCCAACCAGAACCCTCTCCCACATATATTACCAGATACATAATCCAAACTAGTCATCCTCCTGTAAATATGACTTACAACCCAACCAACACCCTCTCCTACACATATTACCAGATACATAATCCAAACTAGTTATCCTCCTGTAAACATGACTTACAACCCAACCAGAACCCTCTCCCACATATATTACCAGATACATAATCCAAACTAGTCATCCTCCTGTAAATATGACTTACAACCCAACCAGGACCCTCTCCTACACATATTACCAGACACACAATCCAAACTAGTCATCCTCCTGTAAATATGACTTACAACCCAACCAGGACCCTCTCCAACATATATTACCAGATACACAATCCAAACTAGTCATCCTTCTGTAAATATGACTTACAACCCAACCAGGACCCTCTCCTACACATATTACCAGACACATAATCCAAACTAGTCATCCTCCTGTAAATATGACTTACAACCCAACCAGGACCCTCTCCAACATATATTACCAGATACACAATCCAAACTAGTCATCCTTCTGTAAATATGACTTACAACCCAACCAGGACCCTCTGCTACACATATTACCAGACACACAATCCAAACTAGTCACCCGCCTGTAAATATGACTTACAACCCAACCAGGACCCTCTCCCACATATATTACCAGATACACAATCCAAACTAGTTATCCTCCTGTAAATATGACTTACAACCCAACCAACACCCTCTCCTACACATATTAGCAGACACATATTCCAAACTAGATATCCTCCTGTAAATATGACTTACAACCCAAACAGGACCCTCTCCTACACATATTAGCAGACACATAATCCAAACTAGTTATCCTCCTGTGAATATGACTTACAACCCAACCAGAACCCTCTTCTACACATATTAGCAGACACATATTCCAAACTAGATATCCTCCTGTAAATATGACTTACAACCCAAACAGGACCCTCTCCTACACATATTAGCAGATACACAATCCAAACTAGTTATCCTCCTGTAAACATGACTTACAACCCAAACAGGACCCTCTCCTACACATATTAGCAGACACATAATCCAAACTAGTTATCCTCCTGTAAATATGACTTACAACCCAACCAGGACCCTCTCCCACATATATTACCAGATACACAATCCAAACTAGTTATCCTCCTGTAAATATGACTTACAACCCAACCAACACCCTCTCCTACACATATTACCAGACACACAATCTAAACTAGTCATCCTCCTGTAAATATGACTTACAACCCAAACAGGACCCTCTCCTACACATATTAGCAGACACATAATCCAAACTAGTTATCCTCCTGTAAATAGGACTTACAACCCAAACAGGACCCTCTCCTACACATATTAGCAGACACATAATCCAAACTAGTTATCCTCCTGTAAATATGACTTACAACCCAACCAACACCCTCTCCTACACATATTAGCAGATACACAATCCAAACTAGTTATCCTCCTGTAAATATGACTTACAACCCAACCAACACCCTCTCCTACACATATTAGCAGATACACAATCCAAACTAGTTATCCTCCTGTAAATATGACTTACAACCCAACCAACACCCTCTCCTACACATATTAGCAGATACACAATCCAAACTAGTTATCCTCCTGTAAATATGACTTACAACCCAACCAACACCCTCTCCTACACATATTAGCAGATACACAATCCAAACTAGTTATCCTCCTGTAAATATGACTTACAACCCAACCAGGACCCTCTCCTACACATATTAGCAGATACACAATCCAAACTAGTTATCCTCCTGTAAATATGACTTACAACCCAACCAACACCCTCTCCTTCACATATTAGCAGATACACAATCCAAACTAGTTATCCTCCTGTAAATATGACTTACAACCCAACCAACACCCTCTCCTCCACATATTAGCAGATACACAATCCAAACTAGTTATCTTCCTGTAAATATGACTTACAACCCAACCAACACCCTCTCCTACACATATTAGCAGATACACAATCCAAACTAGTTATCCTCCTGTAAATATGACTTACAACCCAACCAACACCCTCTCCTACACATATTAGCAGATACACAATCCAAACTAGTTATCCTCCTGTAAATATGACTTACAACCCAACCAACACCCTCTCCTACACATATTAGCAGATACACAATCCAAACTAGTTATCCTCCTGTAAATATGACTTACAACCCAACCAACACCCTCTCCTACACATATTAGCAGACACATAATCCAAACTAGTTATCCTCCTGTAAACATGACTTACAAGCCAAACAGGACCCTCTCCTACACATATTAGCAGATACACAATCCAAACTAGTTATCCTCCTGTAAATATGACTTATAACCCAACCAACACCCTCTCCTACACATATTAGCAGATACACAATCCAAACTAGTTATCCTCCTGTAAATATGACTTACAACCCAACCAACACCCTCTCCTACACATATTAGCAGACACATAATCCAAACTAGTCATCCTCCTGTAAATATGACTTACAACCCAACCAACACCCTCTCCTCCACATATTAGCAGACACATAATCCAAACTAGTTATCCTCCTGTAAATATGACTTACAACCCAAACAGGACCCTCTCCTTCACATTGAAACACACAATCCACATTCGTCATATTTCGTCACATATTACTACACATACAATCCAAATAGGACACTCTCCTGCACTTATAACCCATCACACAGCCCATCCAGGACATTCGCACACACATATTACTTTACACATACTTTAGAACACTACATATGTAACCTAACACATTTCAGGGCACACTCCTTCGCAAATTCCAATCAGGACATTCTTCTACACATAACCAAACATACAATCCAATTAAGACTCGCTCCTACACATATAACCCTACCTCCGCCCTCCATTTTCCATTGCTTATTACTTACTCCATTGCTTTACAACTTTGCGCACAACTATCCCACATGATAAACTGAAGGGAAATCTTCTTTCCTTGATCCATGGGGCTTTTGTTACAAAACGTGGTGACCAGAGATATAGTTACATATCTGTCTTCAGAGGTCTAGGACAGTTTGTCAAAGGTCATGAAGCAAATGGCATCTGTAGTTTACTGAGAAAACAATATGTGCAATGCTGGGCTTCCTCATTGATAACATCCATGTACAAATTTGGGAATGTCTTTTCAGGCGAGAAGTTAGCACCAACTGTGCTCCCCTTCTTGATGAGCTGTTTCTTCATGCATATGAATGGGAATTTCTGCTGGGAATTTTGGCCAAGAATTTTGACTTAAGCTTGAGGTGAGGTGAAATTGGGTTTAACGGTGTGTGTGTGTGTGTGTGTGTGTGTGTGTGTGTGTGCGTGCGTGCGTGCGTGCGTGCGTGCGTGCGTGCGTGGATGGGCGGATGGGTGGGTGCGTGCGTTTTTGCGTGCGTGCGTGCTTGCGTGCGTGTGTGGCTGGCTGCTTGTACTAGTCAGGACTGATGCTGATTTATAGTGCTAGCCCACTGAGATACCATGCCGCAGTTTACATGAATACCCCACTCAGACACAGTATACTGACCCCAACCCGACCAGTCCTTGTTTTTGCACCTTAAGCCCGAGCGCCAGACAGGATAAGAACGAGTACCATCTTTTAAAGTATTTTGCTATGACTCGGCCGGGGATCGTACCCGGACATTCCGCTCTCCGGGCGGACGCTCTACCGCTAGACCACGGAGGCGGTCTAAGCTTCAGGTATATCGATGATCTGATATCATTCAATAACAATCAAATAGCCAATTCCCTTCCACTGGTTTACCCACCTGAACTAGCAATGTAGGAGACCAATGAAACCGCCTCGTCCATTTCATAGTCATATCGATGCATAAAGATTCCGAGTGACAAAACACTCTGCACAACCTGTGTGACAAGAGGGATGACTTCAACTTTCCAATAGTCAACTTTCCAATAGTCAACTTTCCAATAGTCAACTTCCCAATAGTCAACTTTCCAATAGTCAACTTCCCAATAGTCAACTTTCTCTTCATGTCGAGCACTATTCCAGCAGCTCCAGTCCTTGCTGTTTACATTTCACAACTTTTGAGGTACAGACGAGCATGCTCTTTCTACCAAGATTTCAAAGAGCGTCATACAGCTCTTGCTCAGAAGTTGTTTGATCACAGTTACACCATGCAAGGCCCCAGTAAAGCTTTCAAAAGGTTTTATGGTAAACATGTGGAGGACATTTCCAAATTTGACGCATTGGTGACAACAATTATGTCCGATGCAATTCTCTATTTTGACTTGTACCACATGTGGACAATTGACTTTCCTTTGCATGTGTTTGTGACGGGTGCCACCAGTAGGGAATGATAAGCTCACCTTGTCGCGAACACCTGATGTCATCACCTTTTGATAGTGATTCATAAACTCACACTCTTGATAAAGTAGGAATCGTACAATCGACGCAGTATTTGGCAGAAATGTTTTGTGGAAATGGTTTTGTCGCTTTTATTGCCATCCAGTACAAATCCAACTCCGGGCTTCCATTTGTCCATTGTTAAACATCAATCAGTGCTTATTAACTGTTGGCTTTCCTTGTTAAGTGTCGAACCTGTGTTATCTTCTTACTTTTGTTGTTTTCACATGTACATATATATGCTCTCTGTATTCTAGCATTCACCTGTTGAAGAAGTAAGCATATACTCTGAAACGTTGTTCTCCTCATATAAAGACATTGACATACATAAATTGTCTCTCTTACATAACTCTAGTTTACTCTGTACACACCGTACGATATGATTATATAATTATAGTTTACTCTGTACCTAAACACACACCGTACGATATGGTTATATAACTAGAGTTTAGTCTGTACGTCAAACAATAACGTACCCGAGGAATATAAAACTATAGTTCTCTCTCTCCCTAAACACATAGGGCGGTCGGGTAGCCTAGTGGTCAAAACGTTCGCTCGTAACGCCGAAGACCAGTTTCGATTCCCGACATGGGTACAATGTGTGAAACCCATTTCTGGTGTCCCCCGCCGTGATATTGCTGATATATTCCTAAAAGCGGCGTAAAACCATACTCACTCACTCATTCCTAAACACATGTTCCAAAGGTTTATATAATTACAACCCAGCTAAAAAAATTCTTTCTCAATGTCATCTTCTATAAGCTGCAGAGGGCATCGAGACCTGGCACTTCATGGATATATGGAGATGAATTAGATTAATATCATGGGTTACTAATCACATTATCGACCATTATTCGGCGTTCTTACAACGAAATATATGTATATATACTTACTTGCAACATTCACTCCTACAGAATCACAGCTATAACAACGTCCTCCTCTGTAGTAGATTCGCTCTGTGTTTCCAGGGTTGCTGCAGTCGAGCCTGATTGACCTTCCTGCGACAAACTTTACTTCCGCATCGCGTCATCAATTGTTTCAGTAACCACATCATCAACTGGGATCAAAATGAAATTTCCGAGAATTGAATACTCAATACCACACGCACATCTGTCCATAGTGTAACTCTTATCAGCTGTGCATACGTCACATGACCAGCTAAAACCCATGGGTATGACCCAATGTTTACTTTTGAATAGCGAGTGACATGGGCTAGGTCAATGTCCCACATTTCGTCCAACTCATTCACTCGTTCGCGTAGTCTGTGAAAACGAGGTTTCCCTGCTTTATGTAGAGTGTAAGCATCTTTTCCTTAAAGACACACCTTCACTTTCTTAAACTTAGATTGTCCATAATATGCTCCACTTTTTACGATCGAAATAATAATCTTCTAGGTGGTTACTGTCATACTTTCTCGCGCTAGACACGATTGCAAATGATAAAGACAGTATTTAACCCATGCCATATATCTTATGATAAACATAAAACACTAGAGCGTTTATGATTTTGATTTTGATTTATTCAAATCGAGTTTGACAGTACGATAGTCTGACAACAAGATTCTTCACAATATTTTTCCATTGCTCTGTCTTGAGCTGTGCATTCAGGAATTAAGTATGTATACTGATATTGACAAAACACAAAGTTACGTGTGTCTCTCATGCTCGGATCTACCAAGTATGGTAAGGTTGTTCTGACTAATGTGAAGCCCACGTAATGATTTTCCTTCTGTTGTTTACTCACCGTGTATTTTCATCTGTGATCATCCTCATTCCCACTTCCGGTTGCATTGTACATCCTCCGCATAACTCCCCATTGCGGTGATTTGACTTCTCAGTTACTCAACCAAAAAGGATATATTTTACCTTTCAATCAGCCCCTTTTAATTGCTATACTATCTCTTATCACCGGCAGGAAAATCGCTTTGTCCTCACAATTACAGACAAAATCTACTACTATTGTATTTGGGATTGGAAACAGGGATCTTAGGGAGAGATTACTCAGAGAGGAAGACCTCACTCTTGACAGATGTGTGAAAAAATGCAGGACTCCAGACAATTCCACAGAGGTTCATGCAGTAAAGTCTGGACATCATCGCTCAGGTCGGAGAAAGAAATGCAGATTTTGTGCCACCGAGCATGAGTATAAGAATTGTCCAGCCTAAGGCGTGCTCCTGAGTGAGTGAGTGAGTGAGTGAGAGTGACTGAGTGAGTGAGGTTTAACGCCGCTTTTAGTAATATTCCAGCAATTTCACGGCGGAGGACACCAGATATGGGCTTCACAAAATAAAACCCGTATAATCCATGAAGTTCTAAAATGTGCGTGGGTAAAGGTGGCAACAGATTGTTTCAAGATTGACCACCTAGAGGACACAAGATTGGACACGGTAATTAAGAGACTCCAGGAGATCAGGTCTACATATCTCCTGCAACGACTAATGATACAACCTGGAGAAAGGAGAAGTGTGGGAACCAGCAGAAGACAAGCCAAGGTTATATAAAGTCTGCACCAAGAAGAATGTCCTCAGTGGAAGCAGGTGTCATCTCCGGAAACACATCATACTGGATGACAGAACAACATGGCGTTATCCAAAAACACCAGCAGAGCCAGATGCAGAACAGAGCATCACCGAGGTAAGACAATTCCTGGAAAGCATAGAACCACAGAGTGAGGACAGAGAAGAGACGGAGGGTGTGCAGACAAGGTCTGGGCGTGTTGTCAGACCGCCTATCGGCTACAAGGACTATTATATGAAACAGTTGCAACGAAGTTGTTAAACGTTACAGTTAGTTGGCGTTAATGCCTATTTAACAAGCAGGCTCAGTTCACTTTATCATATTTAGCATTATTGTGGTATTGTTATATTCTAAGGCTTTATTATTAATAGGATGTTCAACTTGCCTCACACAAAGACTGTCTATGAACAAAAGTTTATGGTCAAAGGGAGATGTGAACTCTTATTTGTTGTGCATCAGTCACATGACCAGCTGAAGCCAATGTGTATGACGTCACGGGTTTGTGTGTAAGCGCGAATGTCAGCCATTAAAAACAGGACTCGCACTTCCAGTTGTTTGTTATTGACCCAAGAAGACAAAAATATAGCACTCTCGGTCTATGCGTACTCAAACAGCAGTGAGACATACACGACACGACTTGTGAATGCTATGACGTGATACAATCGGTGACTTTCGCAAACACATGGTGTCATCACTGATTTTCCATTCGTATGATTTTCACTAGTTTGTCTTTTACACCCAATGGAATCTGTTGCGGCAGATAATCGAGGCTTGGTGAGTTGGGTTTAACGCCGCTTTTAACAGTATTCCAGTAATATCATGGCGTGTTAGCTTAATGTGGGAGGAAAACCTGAAGTGATGCAGGTCTGAGACGTTAACCACTTCGGTGAAACCCACGAGCATGGGTATGGTTCTGAAAAACCTAGAAACATTATCGGGGCGAACCGGGATTCGAATCCACAATCATAGGTTTCTGGCATGCCCAAGGGACGCAACTCTGCATAGCGAATCGCGGTCCACCATATTACTGGACTTCGAAACAACCAGATCACATTGCTTCACATCCGTGATCAGGGGTAGAATAGGCCTTCAGCAACCCATGCTTGCCGTAAAATGCGGCTATGTTTGTCGTAAGAGGTGACTAACGGGGTCGGGTGGTCAGGCTCGGTTGATGCATGTCATCGTATCCCAATTGCGTGGATCGATGCTCATGATGTATATAACTGGACTGTCTGGTCCAGACTCGATTATTTACAGACCGCCGCCATATAGCTGGAATATTGCTGAGTGCGGCGTTAAACAACAAACAAACAAACATTGCTACACATGATCCTATCCATGTAGTTTCACTGAATTATCCTAGCATTGATTTTTGTTTCGTTACTGTTAGACAGATGTACATGTATTCCGCCACGGGCAATTTTTCTAAGTGAATGCGTCTTTGAAGTGATCACATATATTCATCAAATGGAAATATAAATAATAATAAAGTCGTTTCTTGTTGGCTACCTGTTGAATGTTCGCGGCTCGGTTGTAACTGTTCCCTGTCACACTTGAAAACGCCAGACAAACTAAATATATATTAAATTAATGATATCCCATATAAGTCGAATGAGAAGCAGGTTAAAGGTTTCAATGAACCCTTTTGAACCTTATTGTAATATGTAAAATCACCAACAGATCTACATACTAGAATGTCATTAATATAATGTTAAAGATCCCACAAGCAGTATAAAATATTTTAAAGTACACTGCAATAGTAAGGAACAATTACTACCATGGAACAAAATACTGATCTACAGAAATATGGCAAAAATATCAGATGACTAATAGAGTACATAAAAGACAAACCCTTCCCATATCCATAAGAAATCTCTGAATAAAACTGAGTCGATTGTTCGAATCCCACTATGTCATGAGCAAGTGTTTATGAATCACTATCAAATAGTAATGATATCAGGTATTCGCGAAAGGGGGAGCATATCCTGTCCCACCGATTGCACCAATCACAAACACATGCAAAGGCAAGTCAGTTGTTCACCAGAAAAAACAAGGGAACATATGGTTCAAGTCCAAATAGGGAATTGCATCCGAAACCATTCTTGTCACCGACGCGTCAAATTTGGAAATGTCCTCTGCATGTCTGCCATAAAACGATTTTGAAAGCTTTACCGAGGCCTTGAATGTTATAACCTTGATCAAACAACTTCTGACGCGCATCGAAATCTCTTTTGAAAGATAATCATGACTGATTCTCTGGGGTGGTTGTTGTTAGATATTGTCAGGTAATACCATGGGAATAGGCGAGATTCAGGGAAGCGTGGCTGGGTACGACTGACAGCTGGGGAACTAACTTGTATAACAATAGTTTCAATAGATCATCCCTCTCCCGACTCAACATCAGGGCGTCTATTTATACTCTATGTTCGGGTATAAAACAACACCACATTTATGTGATATCTCCGTGGGTCAATCAAGTGCTTTGTTTGTTTCTGTAATGCTAGTTGAAATTCAACTGAGCCAAAGAACGCTCCCGGATGAAAGTAATTTCCTGGACACCCCAATGTCTGACTTCCATTAATATTTTCCTTTATAAATTAACTCCTCTCCGTTTTGATGAAAATAACAATATTCGGATCATGTGAAGATAGTCCACCACACTAACGCTTATCATGATCGATAGCCTCTACGAATTCTAGGGAAAGAGTGCTTACATATAACAACTTTCTGTTGCAGACTGGTGGTATTTTGCAAGAGATTCTTTTTCAGATCCGAGTACAGCTGCCTCACATGTTAACCCCATCGTCTCTACTCAGCAGGTGAGGAACATTTTAAAATCTGCTCTGCTGTGTCCCAGGCGCCAAATGCCGGAGCTTCTCTTTACATGTAATGTAGCAGTTTAGTGGATGTCGTTTCATAAAGTGAACAAACACAGGCTACGGGGTTGAGGTTTTAATGCGATGCCTTGAATTGGGAGATAAGATATGACACACGAAAACACATAATTACATATTAAATAATAGGTACAAAATTATCATCATAGCTACATAAATATACATACATAAGATTATCACAAGTAAGTATTTCATATCCGTCACCCATTACAACACCAGACAGACTGTGAACTGAACGCTTATACCAGAGCATTTACAGTAATAAACATGCTATGCAATACTGACATACAAGGGAGATAACTCCTTGACTTTAATATTGGCTTTATAATCTATACACAAAATACAAACATAATACTTACAGTCTGTGTAAGCACATACAATACTTTATGACAGTGAGGGAGTCAGTTGGGTTTAACGCCGCTTTTAACAGTATTCCAGTTATATCGCGGGGTGTCAGCCTAATGTGGGAGGAAAGCCCGAAGTGATGAAGGTCTCAGACGTTTACCACTTCGGTGAAACCCACGAGCACGGGTATGGTGTTGACAAACCTAGAAACATAATCGGAACCCACAATCATAGGTTTCCGGCATGCCCAAGGGAGGCAACTCTGCACAGCGAATCGCGGCGCCTTAGACGACTGGGCCACCCGTGCCCCGCACTTTAAAACAGATATTAATTATATATTACATTACATTAAATGTGATCATAACATTTAGAATACACCTTAAGTCTTGGTCAAATATAAACAATGCATAGCCT